ACTTCAAGTTATCGTTCTACTTTAGATTAGTTTTAAGGCACTTCAACCTATTGTTCCTGTATAGATTACCAAAAGGTCTGGACACACTTAGTCACCGTACAATCAATGCATCGTAGGATTTTATGTAAACTGCAAGCGTAACGGTTAAATCTTGTCAAAAGCCCCGTTTAATGGATCTAGACATTTTGCGGTCAAAAGAGGGCTCCTAAGAATTGCTTTGCTGTTGTAAGTAATGTTATTATTGATCAAAAGCTTTTTGTTAGGATGAACTGTGGAACCACCTCTTGGACCATGATTGGCTACGTGCCTTGCGAATGACTTCCTATGGTTTCCTTTTATATGGCCCTGGATCTTATGCTTGGTACAAGTATCTTGACCACATTTTGCCCAAAGCAACAGTGAAGAATATAATGGTGAAGGTATGTTTAATTTACAGCTTTATGCTTTTGACAGCCACGAAATGTTTAGTTTACATCTTTATCCTGTTTTCCTCTCTTGGCAGGTTTTACTAAACCAGATTGTTTTGGGACCTTGTGTCATTGCTGTCGTTTTTGCTTGGAACAATTTATGGCTGGGAAAACTCTCAGAGCTTCCAGAAAAATACAGAAAAGATGCCCTTCGCACACTGCTTTTTGGTAGAAACTGCTATCATTATCATGATTTGGTGATGCATATTACTTATGTGTTAATGTCTTTTGATTTGATTTTTCTATGTAGGATTTAGATTCTGGATCCCTGTCAGTGCATTGAATTTCTGGTGCGTATATACTTGTTCTCTTTTAGAATCTTTTATTGTTTCATAACCCTTTTATTATCTCTTAACCATTCAAGGTAAATGATGGGATATTTTCTGATATTATAAAATGGTGTAGAGAGGGACTGCATCTATGGATAGACTTAAAAACTTAATCAAGATTTTGGAGATTTTAAATATTCTAAAACCATTGCTCCAGGTCTAACTTTTTAAAGATTTTGTTCCCGCCAATTCATCAAGAGATCGTGGGCTTAAAGATTGTTGCTTGGATTAGGGGCAATTGCATGTCATCGTAATAAATCAATTCATGTTGAATTTGTGACTTAGTTAGTTATATTGTTACATATATAATCATGACCTCAGATTTGTTTGGTGATTTTAAAATTTGTTTTCTAATTAAAAGTTTTGCACTCTTAATCAGTGTTTTAGTAATTATTGAAGTTCAAAATTGTGCCATGGCTATTCATTTAGATGCCAGTTGGATATGCTGTATTAATAACATCTTACTTGTGAGTATGACATGAGTTCAGTTCAGCTTGTTAAAGGGCATAAGAGTTCAACCGGTAATCCAACGTCAAGAAACTTCTGTTTTTTGCTTATTAACTGCAAAAGTTTAAAACAATTTGTATGCTGTGAAACTTCTCGGCACATTTTATTGAATGAAAATGAAAGATGGTATTCTAGTCTTGAGATTGCTTGAGTAGGATTTTGTTCTATGGGTACCCCCGAGTATTGATTATGTTGGCCAAATGTAATGGGGAATTTACTGATATCACATGCCTGTTTTCGCTATTTTCTCGAGTACTATCATGTCACTGTTACATAGTGATCATAATCTGGTTAATATATTAAGCGAGCATTCATTGGCAATGTGCATGGCATCTGAGCAGGGTGGTGCCACTTCAAGCTCGAGTGGCTTTCATGTCTACGGGCTCAGTATTCTGGAATTTCTTCTTGTCATCAACAATGAGCAAGTAAAATGCGTGGAGGAAATTTTCCAGCAACTTGGGTTGTTTGAAGATTTCAGCATGAGGTATTAAATTATATGAATACATTGTCTTCTTATTAACCAGGGTAGTTATAACATCAAATCTTGTTATGTGTGTAGATTAGCTCATGGTCTTGCGGACTTGGGAAAGGATGGTTGTGTGGAACAGGCAATGATTTCAATATAACATTCTCAGGGTTCCGTTCATTCATTTCAGTTGAACGTAGGTTGCTGTGAAAGCCCCGCTGAATTTTTGTTCTTGCCGGTTTTTAAATGAATATACAGACTACAGAGACGACGATAGCTCATTTCTTAATTGTATCGCAGAATTCTACTACATTAAATAAATCCTTTTTATCCGGCATTAACTTGGAACCACGTGCATCCAAAGCACCTTTTATAAGATCAATGTAATTGTATGTAAACCTAGAGCAATAGCATGATGAACCTAGAAGTCTCCGGCCCTATTGTTAAAAAATAGGCGAGAGGCCTCGGTCAAGTTAAACAATATTAGTGAACGAATACTTTTATTTTTTTGGGCCTTTTGGAATAGAACAAATCTTGTTTCTAGTAACTCTGTTTTCTGTTTTTGGTACCAAAATTTTGTAACTCGAAACAGTCGGACGTTCATGCCACAAGATCAAATAATATGCGTGCTGCGATTGATTTTTGGGAATAAATAATCAGATTTTAGTCTTTGTATTTCGTATTTTTATTATTAAGATGTAAACTCCTAAAATTGTCAAAATACTATTCAATTTAGACTCTGGAACTGGCGAAAAATGACTTCGGAAAAATCGATTATTCGTTTATTATCATTGTTTCATTTCGTTATTTTTTGAAAATTTATAAATTTTTTCAGCGATTAAAAAGAAAAGAGAAGAAATCCATGATTCCATCGAGAAACGGTGAGATATACCCCTTGTTTAATTGAAAATCTTTGCCATGGAAAATGCACTTTGTTTTTTACCAGCATGAAAATGTACTTGTTTAATTGCACAGCATCCATATTGATATATGAAAATTAAAACAAATTAACACGGAACCAAATACTAATGATGAATCCATATGCTAATTATGAACCTGCCCCCTTGCAAGAAGAATAAGAATTATTGAGTTTTTATCCTCACGTCCATATTTCTATTTTTCTCTCTTGAAAAACACCAAATTTATAAAAAAATTTAACGCCACACTAGCACTGCAAAAATGTCAAGCATCTCTCTCTCTCTCTCTCAAAAAAATTAATATGGAAATCCTAATCAGACCTGTGAAAAACACTTTTTGGCCAAATCGTTCGTCCTAGTGGTTTTTGGGCAGCATCTTGGGCCTCAGGCGCTTTAGACCTACATTGTAATGGGTGAGTAGAAAAGCCCATTAATTTCCGCTCAGGAAATGAATCAAAATTCCCAAATCCGAAGAAACGGAGCCACTAGGGTTAGGGTTTCACTTGGACGCCTTTGATCGATCAATCGATTTCATCCTCAATCTCTGGAATCCTGTTGCTTGAAGCCATGGCAACGCCTGCGACGACGAAGAGAAAGCCAGTATTTATCAAGGTGGATCAGCTAAAACCCGGTACAAATGGCCACACGTTGACCGTGAAGGTGATCAGCTCTAATCCAGTGAAGACTGTCAACAACAAGGGCAGTCGATCGTCAATGGTCCTTGGGCGGCCTGCTCGTCCCACACTCATCGCTGAGTGTCTTGTAGGTGATGAGACTGGCACCATCATTTTCACAGCTCGCAACGAACAGGGTATGTTAACATGTTAAAGTTTAATTATCATTGCATTATTCACAAGAAGTTCGGTTCGATTCAAATGAAGGGTCACAGTAGGATTTAGGAGTCTTTTTATTGCCTGGATTATGAGCACTCGCTAAAACCTACTATATATCCCCAGAGAAATGCTGAAGACAGGCTAATCATAATTTTACTCAAACCAATAAAATCACCAATGCGGTGTCATTTCATTCTTTTCACGACTCATTTTTTCCGCGTTTTACACTGTTCTATCAAGTTATTGTAGTAGCGTGAAGCATGCCAGTGTTGGGAATTGGGACTTGTGCTGCAATTAGCGTTTTGCCTAGTAAGATGGGTGGAACATGGGGCTCGTGCATTGGTAAAGATATGATTTTCGGGGAATCTTTCTATGATCTCTGGAATTAATGGTTTCATTGATGGCTCGTACTTCTTCATGTAGTCTTTGCTAAATGCCATCTTCTCTACTTGTGTTGAAAAACACAGGAGTATATGTTTAGTCCACATGTTGTAGATGGATCATTAACCGGTGACTTTTGTACAGTGGATATGATGAAGCCAGGCGCCACCTTGATTTTGCGAAACGCAAAGATTGACATGTTCAAGGGCTCGATGAGGCTTGCAGTTGATAAATGGGGACGTGTTGAAGTAACCGAGCCAGCAAAATTTGAGGTCAAAGAGGATAACAATCTTTCTTTAGTGGAATATGAACTAGTTAATGTTGGTGAGGAGTAATTTTAGCGTCAGGAAGCGAATGCTTTGTATTAAGGGAGAGTTTCTATCTTTTTCACGTGGCCATTGAACTATTAACTGCAGCACAGTATTCATTTGGCACAGCCATGACTGTTCAGCCTTGAAATTTCTGTAGTAAAAGTAAAATTTATCTTTCAGTGAGCAAATACAGTTGCCTAACATGCTGAAGCAAATATTTTTATAGAAGACCTGTTACCAGGCAAAATAAAAGAAAATTTTCAACTCAGCAGATTCATGGATGCTTCAATTTGATGTCACGTTCCATGCTGTATGAGAGATTGATGAAAGATCTGTTCCCATTTTCACTTTGATTATACAACTGTTAACCCATGGTGGAGTTCAATAATGGCGGGGACGTTGTTGCAACATCGGGTTGCATCCTCGCTCGTCTTTTTGAAAAAATAAAGCAAAAAGAATTCTTTAACAGTTGACATCAGAGTTCTCAGAGTGGCTAATTCAGTTTAACTTGCTTGATGAAATGTGGAAGCAAGAAGAGAATAAAAAAAGAAGGATGGCAGATGTAAGAAAATAAATGTTGTAAGAAAACCAGCATCAAGAAGCTTGGTTAATCCCGAAGTCCTCTGGTGCCAATGTTGCGTTTAGGGAAGTCACAGATCTAGATAAACAAATACCCGAATCAGATTTTGAAAGAATTGAAGAAAGGCAACCGAATTTAACGTGTTCAACCACAAGTCTATATAGCCAACTCATTGAATCGAAATCGTTGATGCAAAGAAAACAAGTCGATCCTACTTAAGCCCTCATCATACTTTCATCATCTCTTCGTAATACAGAATTCTCATTTTCACCACATACTTCGTAATCGAAATCTTTAAGCGATTCAACGAGAATTCAGGATAAATTCAAAAGCAATTTAATAAATATTCAATACTTGCGACACATTTTCCCCTTATTATTCAGTTATCTGCCTGAGTTCCAAATTTTGAGCACTATGGGCGACATGGATATAGGTAACAACCTTAATGCGTCTGAAACAGAGAAAAGTACAGCTGGTCTAATCATCAAGTATCATAGTCCAATTTACCATCTTCCCCCTCCAACGGCTCAGTCAAAACTCCTAGTTTTTCAGCAGTGACGGTTTCACAACGCTGATTTGTACATAATAGATTGCTCGAATCTTCTGAACACTTATCACACATCATCATTGCAATCTGATTAAACAAAATTCATCAGTATAACCCTTCGTTATCTATTGCCCCTTAGCATGCAAGAAAATCAAGGAAACGGCATGGATTTGAATCATAGTAGTTATTATGAAAGGTTTCAAGCAGCAGCACAATCACGCTGCACAGAAATGTACAATAATTGAAGTCAGCAGCTCATCAGTTAAAAAGTGCCCTTTTTATTTTTCATAATTCCTGGAATTTGTCTTCTACAAGTGTAAAGAAGTTTGACCAGTATAACTGAAACATAGAGACATCACTATATTCCACCACGCAATGCAAGCAAGGCGTATAGTGCATCCGTTCAAAATGTCAAATCAATAAAAATTTGGAGAGCGCACAAATTGCTCTAAATAATTTTAAGCCAGCGGTTATAGGAATCTAGTAATTCTTCCTAATGATCTAGAAAAATTTGTTTAAAACCCAACACAGCAAGAAGTCCATATCATCCATTTTTGCTTCTTGATCTTCATCTAGTCTTCTGTAGGCCTACAAACAAGAGGAGCAGCGTGTATGGCTTCACTAAACGGTTTAGATGCAGGAGTGGGGAATACTAAAGACATAATCCATCAAATTGATGCAGCGGATGTAGTAATATTATAAACATATGTTCAAGAATTAATATATGAAAGGCCTCCTTTCATATGTATATCAATAGCATTCATATCATTTCTCATAAGACTCTGGTAAGTTTAACCCAAGGATTGAAAGAAACACTAACCTGAAGATTAAATTGAAGAAAGAACATCAAGGAATCCTACAGATGTTTAGCTACCTAATTCAAAAGTAAAATCCAATCATCAGGCAAGCTACTAGAAGAACTACCATCTTCAGTGCATATGAATAAGATATGGCTGCAATACTAAACATGTTTGCTCCAGGAATCCTAGCAACCCAATTAAAAAGAACAAACAAGCTTATGTTGTCAAAGCGATCATACAATTAAAGACGAACCAAGACTAGCGACCCAAACAGTCCAACAGTGGGCCCACGTTACATGATCTCTTTGGTGCAATATTTATATCCATGTTGATGTGTAAGTGGATCTTAATTTTAATTCTAAATCCAGAAAATTGTCTCCTCTACCATGCCTCTGTAAAGTTCCAACCCATGCCTCTGTAAAGTTCCAACCAGCATGGGCATTCATACTAACTATACACCGAAACAGGAGTCAGTAGATTAAGCTTCAAGCTAGAAGCATACTTCATCTTAAAGAGCCACCCGCAACTGCTTCTATACTGTCCAAACTAGCTTTTGTGGTTTTTTTGTCCACTTCTTTATTATTACACAAAACTGGCACTCACTTGCAAACGCAAGGGGGTTGTTCTAGTTCTTAATAAATATTGAAATAAGCAGAGGAGAATATTATCAAACCCATTAAGTCAAGCTAATCACAACCAGATCAACTATCTTTCACATTTCAACCTCATGAACAAAACAATCACATACGAAGAAACACAATGATTGACGCCAACGGTGTGGAAGTTACCTTCAGGAAGCCACCCACAACTGCAACGAGAGATGGAGAGCATTGATGTCATCAGTGCTGAAGCAGTTGCCGTATGATATGGCAGCATGGATTCCACACAGAAACTCAATTCGACAGGACACCTAATTTAAAAGCATGGATTCCACACAGAAACTCAATTCGACAGGACACCTAATTTAAGTAAATAAGAGAATTTCCATCCATAAATTTGTCTTATAAACAACGCTACACAACGTATTATAAGAAAAACGAACACACCATCCAGTTTTGAAGCATCCGACCCTTGCTACCATTAAGAAGGTTCAAAAGTTAAGCTAATAATCTAGCACCGCGTTTGGTTTATGAAAAATCGTCTAAAGGCAAAAAACAAAAGGTGGACAAAACCACGAATAAGTTCTCCAATGTTGTGCCAAAACAAATGCAATGGAGTTTAAAGTACATTTTACTTTTCTAAAGAAATAGATTGAAAAACAGAAAAGCATAATGTTCATGTGGCTTGCATTCTCTCCTATACCAGAAAATAATAACAATGTTATGCAGATTACCTGACAGTGGAATGGGATGAAGGTTTTCTGGATGCGAGGCGGAATGAAGAACGAGTCGCTCTTGCTTCCGATGCAACACGGAAAGCAGAGGAGCGAGACGAGCAAGAACGGAACAACGACCTAACGGCGGCTGAGGATGCCATTTCGTGATCGGAAACGATAGCTGATGCTTAGCCTTGGGAATGGTTAGGGTTCTTGGGCAATGGCTCGGCAGGGCAAGAAGCTAAAACCTTGCATGAGGGTTCGGTTACAGGGCTTAGGAATTCCTGACCCGGAAAAAATTAACACGGGTCTCTTTCGGTTCGGACCTTGCTGAAGGATCAGGAATCTGTCTTCAAGTCCAGCCTCCGAGTGGGTCGGGGTCCGATTCGCCTTCGGTTTCCCCGTCCGAAACCCCTCTCTTGGCACAACAGCCTGTTGGGCCATTAAACAACCTGGACTTCGTCTGGCCCAAAATGGACCGTTCTCAACCATAGGCCTCGTTTGAAGTCTGGGACTCCTGCGTGTATTAAATCTGGGCTTCACCATGTTTTTCAAAAAAAATGTAAAAGGTAAATTGAGCTCAACTTTTGCAGAGGAAGATAATCCATTTCCACCCCTGAAAGTAAGAAGAAACTACATCAATATGAATTTATTAACATTTAATGCCCGAGTGTTTAGTGTTTACGCAAAGGAAATAAACTAACGAAGAGATCCTAAATAGTTTCTCAGCTTTTATCAGTGAATAAGCTTTATTCAGGAGAATGAATTAGCAAAACTGGCTGGCCACAAGCGTGTGTGATGACTCCGAAGTTCATAAAATTCATTTTAACCGAAGATAGATGTGTCTTTTCTTTTAGTTTCGTATGAATATAGATGTTTTAATTCGATGTACAGTATCTGCCATATCAATTGGTGAAGTATTGTTGTGAAGAACGCATATAAATATAATCTTTCATATTTCAGGCCCAATACTATATATTTCTCATGTTCTTGATCAGCAGAGCCGACGGAAATTCAACAGTGCAACTCTTACGTATAGCACTTAACATCATATAATTTCTCTTTGGTTACGGTCCCTTAATTTCGTCAAATAAAATATCGACTTGATCCCATGCACACAGACATCGAGGCATATGAAAGTTAAAAAGAAATTAGTCTCTAAAGCTTTTCCAAACACTTTTGATCGAAGTGCTTTTATTGCCTGATCTCCCAGAAACTAAGACTAAGACAAAAATTAATTACTTTATTATCACATACACAAAAAGGCTAGTGAACAAGTTGAACTGTGATGAAAGAGAGAATCCTCAAAAGTAACTCTCTTAAGCAAGTTAATGAGAAGTCGTCGAATTAGGGTTTCGTGGGGCCTTCACAGCTGGTCAGCACGCTTAGCAGCAACCCAGAAAGGGGGAAAAACCTCCGATGTAGAGGACATCATTGCTGTTGAAAAGCGAGGTCAAGCACACGAGGGTGGAATTTTTGGAACTCCTTGTCTCTGTAATTCACCCATCACGCTGTCTAGCTCTGGAGCTTTAAGCCCAAGAGGAAGCGGCAGCCATGGCTTTGATAAAACATCTCCAATAGCTGCATCTACGCTCTCCTTTGACTGCACAAATCAGACACAATATTGTTTCATTCCACATCTCACACGCATGTAATCCATTATTTTGCTCACTCAACTGTGTTTATGTTCAAGCTATATATTTCTTCTCTTTTTTTTTTGAAACAAAAAGTTTCTTTCATGAGTTTAAATGGCAAAGTTTTTGTATTGTAACTGGCGTTGCTAGATATGACGAAAGTAGGAAGATGATCTTTAATTTGAGAAGTGCATGAACCAAACAAAATGCTGCCCTTGTTCACAAAGCACATATAGACCATTTTATAGGAAAAAGCCAGAGAGGAGAATAATATAATGAAAACAAATTGCATAATTATAGTGGTTTCTTTCTTGTGTTTAGTGGGGAAGTAAAACAAATAATTGTATAGACCTTGGGTTCTAATAGTATCCTTGAGAAAGAACGAAAGAGATGGAGAGAAACTCACTGGATGCGAATCAATGAATGGCCGAGGACTGGGTTGGTTGGTGGGGACGCCAATGCCAGGATCTACTTTGTACATGGCATGGGGTGGAATACCCGGGACAGGAGGAGAGGGAAATCTCTGCGCATATATACACAAAATTTCTTAATTTCTATATGGTGATATTTGAATTTGCTGAAGTATGCAAAGTAAAGTGAAAAGGAAGAAGACAGCCAGAGTGGCTCCAAAAGAGGCAGGAACGAGTAGTCACGTACCGTTGTAGTCAGAGGCTGAGGAAAGCAAGCTGGTCCTGGCGTTAGTGCATTGGGAGCCTGTAATGGTAACCAAGAATCTGCTGTTTAGACCCAGAAAGTTATACGCACATGGAATATTTCAAACTCTACAGACTTGGTTCTTTTCTGAAATTTCTTCACGTAACTGCCAATTAATTATTAATTGCTTTCCCTCAATCAAGCCACCACAAGTTGATTTTTCTTATTTGTGTCAAATCATTTTAGTTTCTCAACTTTGTTGAGAACTTTAATTCGATTAAGTGAGAAGAACGTTAGCCCCAATGGCTTTTGCTGTTTTTGAATTTTTATTGCGAGGACAAAAAATTAAAATTGTCAAATTAATCACCTAATAACTGATGAGAATACCTCTTTTTTATTGGCTTAATTATTCCATAATCTTTTTCCTCAAATTATATATTCTTATGTAAACGACGGGGTTTAAATTTTTGAATGGGGATGAAAGATTAAATACTAAATAAATGAACTAATATTGAAGGATAGGGAGTTACCGGTTGGTGCCAATAGGAAGGATTAGGAGGCGGAGGAGTGACAGGAGGCGCCCAAGCGAGGTGCGGCGGCGAAGGGGAGTGTGGAGGGAGATGCTTAGGCCACAATGGCAAGAAGGAGTGGTCCACGGTGGGATGGCCCCACACATGTAAGGCTCTAAAATGCTGCATTGGCGGCGGCGGTGTCACCGGAGGGAAACCAATTGTCGGTGCTACTGGGAGCCAAGGGCTTCCCTCTCTCTTCCCTCCTCCTCCTCCTATACCATAACATTGTCTTCTCTTACTCCAGTTTGCTGCTTCTGCTTCACGTGCCAACAGGTGTTTCCTGTGGGATCGATATTTCTGCGTTTCGAACCACACATCTTAGAATTCTCTCCTTCAGTATATATCTCCTATTCTATACATACTGCTCTAGTCTAAGTACCCAAACATATTTGTGTCCGTTTTTGGCTGGTGCGTGTATATATAGTAAATTCAAGCTTCCAACAATTTTCGCGTATGAAGAAATTAGGGAATTTTACTTGTTTTCTTTTTTTGGGACCGAAGGAATCTTACTAATTGGAATAAAAATATTATTACGTGATAAGATATATGCTGTAGAAAAGCATTGTTTTTGTTTGGCCTCTTGGAGCTTGAGATTTACAGTAGATGAAAACCAAAAGGCGAAGAAGAAGAAGAAGGATATATACTTGAAGATGGCTGGCTATGTTATGGCGAGTGAGACAATCGATTCCCATGATTTCCAAAATTCTCGAAGGCACCGCCTTATCTACTCCTAGTTGCTCCACTGCTTGCACGAATCGTCTGTGCAATTCTGGAGTCCAGTCCACCTTCATATCACCAAGCACAACAAATTAAAATAAATAAATAATTCAGATGAAGATGACGATGACGATGAACCATAATACTCCTCCGGTCCTTATTATAAAACCCCATTTGACTTTTTATTTGGTCCTAATTATAAGACCTCAATTCATTTTGTCTCTTATATTTATGTGTTTTTTTCCAAGATAATCCTTCTAATAATGATAGTTTTAGTCAATATACTTAATTAGCAAGGATATTTTAGGAATGACAACACTTATTTATTATAAATAACCAATTTAACTTACTTCCTTAATCTCCTCAAATAAGTCAATTGGGTCTTATAATTACGACGGGAGGAGTACTAATCATAGGTCAGTATTTCTCTCTCTTCTGGTTATCGCACCCGTGAGCTCTTTTGGAACACAGGCACTTTGTAAAAGCAAGACCGTAATTAATGACTGTGACAGAGACAGGACCTTCAGGACTAGCTCAGCCAGCACATGAACTTCATCGGAAATTCGAAACCTAACAAAGGTGTTTGTGTTGTGAGTTACGTGTAATTAATTAATTACCTTCACTTTTCTCTTCCCTTGAGAATTCTTTGACTCCGCTGATGATTTTCTTCCCTTGTCAGCTTCCTTCTGAGACGGCTTCACCACCGCGGATTCATCCCTTTTGCTCACTATCTCCTCTCCAGAATTGGAACCCGAGCCGAACCCCGAATCCGAGGACACCTTATCTTCTTCTCCTTTCTTCGTCGACGTCGTTATATTCTGGTCAACTTTATTATTGACGTTTTCCAACGAGACCGATGAGGTGGCCATCTCCGATTCCTCGCCGGCGCTGAGAGAGAATTCGGCGAAGATCTCGGGGTCCATTTCCAAATCCGGTAGGACATCACCGACGTTGATGCCGACAAAGATGTCGTCGAAGTTGATGCTTTCCAATAGATTCCCATCGGAGAGGTCAGCGAATTCATGGGACTCCATCGAAAGTCTCTCCATCTCTCCTTGTCCTTCTTCATCTTTTGTGCTTCTAAGAGGTGACACCGCGAGCATCAATAATCCCGGACTCCCACCTCTAACGAAACAAACCTCAATCTTCTAATCTATAATCTATAATTAACAATAATAACGAACTCTTCTCAAAATATACTGTAGAATTAAGCAACACAAGCTAGTGCTCGAAGTAGTGTGATTTGAAGCGACTGATGAATCTACTGGGATTTGAATGGCTTTGTTGCTCTTTTTTCTGAGTGGGGGCGTAGTGTAGAAGAATTGAAGAGTTTGGGATGTGAACCACCACTTGGAGAGAGTTTCAAAGACCGAAGAGGGATTTGCTTTAATGTTTTTGTTCGGGAGTGTGCTAGTTGCGGTAGTGTGCGTGTGTTGGTATGCATGTATATAAATTTTGGGTTTGTGGATGGGAGAGCTTTTCTTTTTTCTTTTTCCTTTTTTTTTGGGTGGAAAATTCCGAAAACGATCGTTTCGTTGATATACTATACTATAATTAATAAATGGACATTATTAACTTGATACATATGTCTGCAGCAAGCAGAGATAGTACAGTGAAAATGAAAGGGATGTGTGCTGCCTTACTGATGTTGGTGAACAAATTAATTGACCGCTGTATTTTTGTGGCTCCCTCATTAAAAGTTTATCCGTTCCCAGTCTTATCTTTGCCAATACTTCCAAATGCCCACTTAATCATTCTTAGCAGCTACCTAATCTCATGTCTTTAATTTTTTTAATCATTTTTGTCTCTCCTTACATCAGTGTTTCTTCTGTGCCTTCCTGCTTGGGATATTCTAGAGTGGTCCAGTTAGGGCGTGTGTTTCTTGGGAGTTAGAATTACTGCTCCTTGAGGTCTGTCGCTATGATTTGTGAGGTGGGGTTTGAGAGAAGGGAGGGGAGAGAAAGACGAAGGGCGAAGGTATTGAGCAAGGGAAATTGAAGGCCCAATGCACATATGAAAAGGTTTCACTAAAGTGTGAGTCATAACATGTCAAACTAAGATTTAAATTTCTGTCACGGGATTGATTTAAATAGAACGACAAATTTAGTTATCCAAAAAAAAAGAAGTTAAAGTGCAGATTTCTTCGTGATCAAAGTTTCAAAAGAAGAATATAATAATTTGATTGGAGATATCTGTAATTCATTGCCTTAAAATAATGAGTATTGATAAAATTGATAGCAGTATGAATTATATGAAATGATGCTGCATCACCAAGAGTTTTATATAACTGATGGCTCTGTTCTTGAGTAGAGCCGGGAAAACGGGCCGAGCCCGTCGGGCCGGCCCGTTTAAGCCCGTTTAAGTCGCGGGCCGGGCTTGTATTTTGAAGCCTTGAAAGAGAAGTCGGGCTTAAAAGGGCCAGTCCTGTAGGGCCGAAAAATAAACGAGCCGACCCTGTAGGGTCGCGGGCCGGCCCGTTTAAGCCCGCCAATATTTTTTTAAAAAAATTTATATTTTTTTCTTAACTTAAAAAGAAAAACCCTAACATTTTACACATAATATACTCTTAGTTTTACTTACCCCCACTGCTCACACAAATGGCATTCACAAAAAATAAATCACCATAATTCTAAGTATATTAACAAAAATGTGTTATTATTTATAAGTTGTCAAAACCTATTCAAATACTGTATGTGTTATTTTACAATCTTTATTTATCATTCTTTCATATTTTTTATACTTGAAATAGAATTGGTTAAAGAATCTTTTGAATTAAAATAAAGATCTATATCATTTTTATAGTTAGAAACAAATTTAGAACTGGGGATAATGAACTCTTTTCTTTTTTGTCAGTAGGACAAACAATTATTTTTTATGTATACTATGTTTGTTAGTTAAACTTTTTTGTTAATTATTTATAATTAAACAAGATCATCCATATTGTAATTATTTACTGAACTTAGTGTTTATTTAGTTGTTTATGTCTGTCCTCTATTTAGTTTGTTCATTCAATAGACTCTATTATATTGTGATAGATGTTTTGACATAATGATGTTTATGTTTGTGACTTATTTATATTTATATTTATATCTTTTATTAGTAATTTTATTGTTTCATTTTTATTATTTCGATAAAATAGGTAAAAATAATAATAAAAATACATTTTAGTTAAATGGGCCAAAAGCCCGCGGGCCGGCCCGAGCCCATTATCTCACGGGCCGGGCTTGGAAAAATGCTTCATTTTTTAAACTCGGGCTTAAACGGGCCAGCCCGTTTAAACCCGAGCCCGTGACGGGTTGGCCCTGTAGGGCCGGGCCAGTCCGTTTTCCCAGTGCTATTCTTGAGCAAGAATGGGAAGAATCGTCACTTGAGGGGGGGGGAAGGTAAATTAACAATGATTCACGTGGTTAAATTATTTTGATTAGTATCTTTCAAAAGATGCTTCCTCAAGAGCACATGGAAAAATTTCATTGAGATCTATGATATTTGGCATTTCACTTTTTTTTTTTTAAACATTAGAAGAATTTCAACTCTAATTCAAACTCTGCCCATGCGTATTTGTCTTGATCACCCCAAACGGTAGTATTTAATAAGTGTTTGTATATATATGCTAAAATGCATTAATTTTCAGAGAATTATATTTATTAATCTTGTACTTAGACTATAGATGACAAATTCATACTACAAGACATAATAAACAACTACCTCCAATCTTTAATATAAGATCCCGTTTGACTTTTATTTTGGTCCTAAATATAAAACCCCAATCCACTTTGTCTCTTATATTTACTCAATTTTTTCCAAGATATTCCTTCCAATAATTATAGTTTTAGTTAATACACTTTATTAACAAGGATATTTTAAGAAAGATAACACTTATTTATGACAAATAATTAACTCAACTTACTTTCTTAATCTCCTCAAATTAGTCAACTGGCTCTTATAATTAGGACCGGAGGTAGTATTGTATAAATTAAATAAGATGTTAAATAATATTTAAACACACACTTCGTATATAGGATTTTTTTGGGGAACTGAAATCAGAACATAAAGTGAGATGTTCTTTTTACTTTTTTGTTCAGACAATACATCGACCCATTTGACTCTTTTTGGCAATTATTGGCTAGATGGTCATCGACGTCATTTTGTGAATAGCAATAAAATATTTTTAAAAAAATATTTTTTTTGTTAGGTATTTTTTTATAAGAGGCAGTTCTGTTTGATACATTGTCGCTAAGTAAATATCGGAATCTCTCCCAACCATTAATATAAATCTATTATACAATTTTGTCCATATAAAATATAAAATCTATAACAGCCCAAACCCGATTCGATTGATGGATTGCCAAAAAAAAAACCCCGATGGATGGATTAAAAATACGACTCCACTGTCGGATTCCACACTATGGGAGGGAAGATACTGACTGTCATTTACTGTAAATTAAATGGCGAAGAGATCGATCGCGGATTTCGCAATTAATAGGCGGAGACCACCGTCTTCCAGAGAACTCCAGTGACGGCTTTGAAAGTGCTGATAACATTTTGCCAGCTCCCACCTTAACAATTGCATAATTTGTCACCAAATTTAAAATGCTTAACAAACTGCGATTATCTTTAGTTTATTCTTCCAAAAACAATACACGTAACTGGATGAAAATTATAAAAATTTTATAAAAGTATATATGCATGAAAAGTTATATTTCTGCAATGCTTTTTAGGTTGCTCTGCCTCTACCACTAAGTCATTTGGGGGAAAAGATTTTAATCATAAATACATATATAATTAAGTTGCTTTTTTAATGATTGTTTTCCTATTTTATCTTTATTTAATTCTTGTGTAGGAGAGAGGGAAAGAAAAGAGAGAGGTGAGAATAATTTGCAAATGTAGAGAGGATTTTAATAAAGATAAATTTTAAAAAAATTTGTATCAATTTAATGTGTTTCTTCGTGAGAATGGGTTAAAAGTGACTAACAATAAGGATTGATATTAGTTAATTAATTTGCTAACTGTATAAGGTCGTGTGTGTGGTTGATGCATTATCCAATTATCTCAATCTCTTTCAGTTATCTTTTTTTGGGTCAAAATTAAAGAAGAATCTCCGTTAATTATATGAAAATAGATAAACACTGGGATTAGGATAGATCCTGTTAATGGGTCAATGCCAACACATACTTTATTTTGCATAATGAAAAACAAATAGAAATATTTCAAGTTAACATAATGTCTATAGAAAGTTTGGATTACTCAAATTAAATTCCAATCATTCAATTTCAATGTTTCAATGTATTACAGTTACAGATCTCATAGTCATGAGCTACAGAGTAGTGGGAAACCAAATCCATAACTTTCCTTTTTTGGGACAGCCGAATCCACAATATGTTTTTTTTTTTGGTTCACAATATGTTAAACGCAACAATTATATAAACATTTGAAAGGTGTTGGTCATTATGATGAGATGAGAATAATTTAACGATGGAATAATTAGATCAACATTTACACTTCAGCCCGGGGACGTCGTTTTCTTCGGAAATATTCTTCACAAAGGCAAAGCATGAGTTTTCCTAAGATTTTTTAATAAGCTTTTTTTTGTTATGATAAAAAAAGTATGGTAAATTTTCTAGCTCCTCACAATTTGTTTTCAGTTTTCACAACCAAAATTTTTCAACTCCTTTGGGGGGGGGGGGGAGAAAGTCCTCAATTAAACATTTTAGACTTTAATGTCTCCTGCCAACTTATCTTCAAAATCAAAACTTTTAATCTTCAAATAATCGCTGGAAACTATATATATATATATATATATATATATATATAGCCCAAAAGAATCATTATACTGTAAGCTATATTAAGGATGAATGTTTAAAGTTGCACATGCATATATTGCATATCGCTCCCAAGAAATTCGTGAAGCACCCATATGAAGAGGAATACGCAAACGACAAACCGTTTCAGATCTTCTCCCCCAAAAATCTGATATCCTGTTCATGGATGCCATGGAATGCCTCTGCATAAAGAAATTTATTCACGGTTCCGAGTTTTTCAAGTTAAAGATATTCTTCAACCCTCCTAATGTCTTTTTCCCTTGCTTTCATTTTCTTTCCGTTTATTTAACATTAAATAGCTTATCTACAATATGTTTTTCTTTGGGGAAGAAAATGATACTCTACTTTTCTTTTTCTTTTCTTTTTTCCCTGGTTTGTGTTTGATATGCATCAATGTCTGTATTCATGCCATGGCATATATTGTGTTTTTTTTTTTTTTAAGTTACAAATTAGTTTTTAGTTACAATCAGTTTACATTTCTAGAAGGTTAATTAAAAATATAAAATTGGAAAAAAAATCTAATAATGCTTTCTTTACTATTTTAGGACTGGGGTGATCCTTAAACAGTGGATTCTGTGGCCACTCTTTTATCAATGACTCTAATATCCCAAGCCATTCTTTTGCTTAAAAAATATAGATTAGCGAATTGGAGTAATAATATTTTTATAAGAAAAAATTGTCCCCTCTTGTAATTAAACAAATCTTACTCGAAAATTAGTGGTTATCAAGTTGCAAATCATCAAGGTGGGAACATGCATGGAATCAAACTACTATAAGTCGTGGAAATTAAACTATTCTTTTTTCTTCATAAATATAGACAAAGCTCACTTACAAATTAATAATGACAAAATTGCATATAAAGGAATATGAGTATCTGAACCATGAGAAAGCATAGTATTTTCAAGAAGTTAAAATTTCCTCTTTTCTTTTATAAATAGACGAATCTCAATCATAAATTAGCGACTATGAAGTTACAAATTGGGAATATATAAGGGTATCATATTATTGAAAATACCTTTGATCCTAATTAAATTTGGTATTCTCAGACCTTTTACTTCTGTTTTTGAATTAATTCAATAATTTGCTTCCAAATATCAATTTCCCTCTATAAAGTCCCAAGTCGTCTCTAAGCCTCTGTTTAAGTTTAACCCATGGATGGTAACTGTAATAAATCACAAATAAAATGGCTTTGAAATTTTCATTATTTTTAATTTGTTTTAAATAGAAAGGCCAACCACTTGGATGAAGATGGTAGGACCACACACAAATGGAAGGAATCATCCATCTCTATTTAATTATTAAACCGGCACATATTCAATGAGTTCAAGATAGTTTGATGTAAAGCATAATAATTAGATCATTAAGTAGACATACTTAATTATAGGCAGTACTATAAAAAAGACATTAATTATGTCTTTACTGGAGAGCACTGTGATGATGATACATAATCTGCAGAAACATTTGTAGAAGCTTATATATATATATATATATATATATATATATATATATAAAGGAGCAATTTAAAATTGCAACAATTAATTATTGGGGGTGGTATAAACACAGGAAGAATCTCACTCTCTCTATCAAAGGGTCGCTCTCAAAGCCAATATCGAGGTCCCCATGTTCTCTCACCACTAAAATAATCCAAAACCATTTAGCACTGACACAGACCCACCGTCCTCAATAATTCAATCCAGATGGCCTCTTTATCACTATATATCATAACAGAAGATAGTGCTTTCTTTGTACACATATGTAGGCCATAATAATAATAATAGCAACAATCAATCAAACCTCTCTTTTCATTCTCTCCTTAAAGCCTTCAACGTAGTTAATCTGCTTCTCTCAATACATAATCTTAGCAATATTAATTTCTTATTCTTGCCCCACATATATGTATGTGTGTGTGTGTGTGTCTATATATATATATATATATATATATATATGAAGGTTACGTTGAAGATGAAGTAGAGCGGTGAAAAAATTATTGAGGGAGTGCATGATAGGAGGAGGGTAAAGCATAAAGGAACCGTATGTATTATATATGAGATGAAATGGAAAGAAAATGATGTTGAGAGGAACAAGACATGGGATATCCACAGATGATCTGGAAATCAAATTTTAAGAACTGGCCCTAAAGCATCTATAGGTATATGTGGAGAAGAACTTTTTGTCTTTCCTTGCATGGAAGTATTCTGAGGAGGTTTTTGTGGTGACAATTACTTTGTTTGAATCCCTATACAGTAACACACACTTTGTTCGTATCTGCCGCGTCAAACGGTGAATATATATCTATATATATATATATTATGACACACACACACACAGAGTATCATATATAAATAAATAGGTATATGTACAATACAATATATGGAGAAGGTCCTTGTTGATTTATGGCGCATCACTAAGAGACAGAGTGGGATAATGTTGCCGGCATTGGAATTGGACCCCCAGTCGCTCACCTGCATCAAATAACAGACTGATCAAGGTCAATAAATTTTAAAAGTCTTCCGGCTTAACGCGTCCTTTTCACTCTGCCTTTCTAATTAATTAGTTGGCTTGGATGATGAAATGAAACTCGACAATTTACAAATCAACTTGTAAGAGCGAGGACGACGGAGAATTAAGTTGGTTAATTATTAGTTACAGTTCTTGCCGTAACTATGAAATCAATGGGAAAGAAAAAGAAGTTAAGAGATCGAGCTGGTCTAATTGGTGAGCAGAGATGTGAAAAAATTGTAATAAACATTCAGATTCCAACAAGTTACAAGTTTAATACTCGTAGCTCGACTGCTTATAACAGCATTTTGAGACTGAGCGGGTGATAAGTATAATCCATCGGAATACCTTACAACATCTGGAGTCAATACGTCAAAGGTAAGTGTTCAGTTGATTTGTCAGAAATATTTGGTAACTGTTAATATAATTAGAAGCGCGGGAGATGATTGATATGTATTACTATTGTACGTTACATTTGGAAAACAGGTAGTATTAGCTGATGACCGGGTCGTCTGAGAACAACAATTGGAGAATGCACGTATCACAAAATTGAATGCCCGAGTTAAGATATAAAACTTTGTACATGCCAATTAACCAAATAAAAATCTATCATCCAAAAAAGAAAATCCGGGAGATGTGGACCCATGTTGTTTTTGAATTACAAATATACTAGCTGGTGGGCCTGATCCTACATGTAAGAGCTAATTAAGATGTTAATTTTGGTCATAAATATAATAAATTTTTTCCCAAACTCTCCCTGTTGATCATATATATTAAAGGAGATTTCTATAAATAGGAGTAATGATTAATGAGGTTAATACACATTTAATGCAAATGACTAATTTAATTAATTTTTTTATTTACGTAAATCACTTATCAATCTCTTATAAAGAGTATTAGACTTCAACCTCCGCACGAGCTATTAATTCATGTACTGAAAAGGAGCCCAAGAAAATAAAAATTATGAAGAGAAAGGACCTCACAAGTCCCTTTCCGGGAATGTTTGTTTGGTTGCAATTTAAGCTGCAGGAATCAGTGGGGCTTCTTGTTGTGAAATAATCTTTGCACATTTTCTTTCTTTATTTGTTTTCCGTTTTTCCTCCTTCATTTCAGGAAAAAACAAGAAAACGTTGCCTGCACACGGAGGGGGAGTGGGAAGGAGAAGAAAGGCAGTGGACACTGTGACTGTGCATTGCATTTTCTCGATTTGAAGCTATATATTTATTCATAAATAACACTACTATCACAACTAAACACATCGAAACTGTATTTGAGTCCTAAGTAGTAATTATTATAGTTTAATTTTAAACAAACACACACACACACACACACGCAATTCATATATTATGATATGTTGATTTGCTGGGGAAAAAAAGATATATTGACTCTTTTTTGGTTACAGAGTAGAAAGGAGAAACTTGATGTTGGGCTCCAACGGCCCATACTCGCAGCCGACACAGGTAATGAGTACAGAGAAATTTGGGTCGTTGGACATTTTGGATTGTTGTATTTGTCAAGGCCCAAAGCTAAGAAACTCCTCATCACTGAATCCAACCCAATACTGTGGCACCCGGATTCCACGTCACCGTCAAGCGTCAACATCGGAAAATCAGGTGCTCATAAACGTCTCTTCTAGTTTTTTTCCCCCTCCTCAAAAAACAGGATGTTAGAGCCATAGAAAAGGATTGATGGGAAAAATAAATAGGTATTTTCATTTTGCCACGGGCAGATAGGTAGTATTTATAAGGAAACATATTATTGAAATATTCCCGACAGTATATGTAACAGTCAAATTAAATTATTAAATTGGTTGAGAAGAAAAGTCAAATTAATTATTTATAATTGGTATGCAAATAATATGTGCTAATTTTTTTTTTAAAAATACTTCTTATATTTAATAATTTTTATAGCAAATAAATGCCACCTCAAATAGGAATATAACAATAAATAAGATGTTACATCATCTTCTTTCTCTTTTTTTTTTTGTGGGGGGGGGGGGTGTTTCTGTCAGATTGAAGGTGGACAGCCCAGACGAAAAAGTTAAACGTGGGAGGAGGGAGATGGCATGGCATGGGCGAACAAGTCGTGGGGAGGGCAATGAAGGTGAGAAGGAAACTTCGAGAGCGAGGTTCTCAAATACGCAAATGTAACATCCATTACGCTATGTTGGTACGGGGTTTTCGGAAGGGAGGGGAGGGAAGTTGCTCCCCTCCCCTTGTTTGGCTGGTATAATTTTTTAGGAGGGGAGGGGAGGAGCTCCCCTCCCCTCGTTTGGTTAAGATGTTTTTTAAAGAGGGGTTCTAGCCTCCCCTCCAAAAGTGGGGTTTTTTGGAGGGGAGGTGAGAGATGATATTTTAATTCCTTATATGCCCTTTCGATTTGTTAACCTCTAATCAATCATAAACATTTCTACATAATAGAGTTCTTTTGAGCATCTAATAAGAGGTTATTAAGATAATTATCTCCAAAATTAGTGAGCATTTGTAAACTTTTTTTCTCTTCTTCTAATTCTAAGAGGCCGTTGGTATTTTCTTTCACCTTCAAGGTCTTTTCTCTGATTGAAATCTATCACTTGTGACTTTTTGTCTTGATATTCTATAAGTGTGTGACTGTATCTTGTAAATCAAAATTAGTGAATTGTATTATATATATATAGTTATATCTTAACAAAATAAAAAATGAGAAAATTCATTTAAATTTTATGAGGCTAAAATAGTCAATTTTTTTTAGAACAAAATAAGGTATTATTAAAATTGCTCCCTCCCCTCCCCTCCAATCAATCCAAACAGGAGATCATTAAAATCCCTCCCTCCCCTCCCCCTCCCTCCCCTCCCCTTTGTAGCTACCCTCCCCTTTCCTCCCCTCCCCTTCCCTTCCCTTGATTAAAATCCCTCCCCTCCCCTTCCCTCCGTCGAGCCAAACATAGCGTTAAGTAATGAGAGAACATGGCGCGTACTGCGTAGAGAGTGGGGTTTTGGGGATTTTGAATGAGATTTGAATTGAATGTAGAAAATTTCGTGATTGGCGGTCGTTGACTCCTCATTTTATATTGATTTGTAGTTGTAATTGTATTGATGGTAGACGCCGTCCACACGGAATTGAACCCACATCAGTCGTCCCATAAAGACTATAATCTCTCACGCAGAATCGATTCCGAATCAGAATTTGAAAGACAGAGAGAAGCAGAGAAGACACGAGTCAGATTTTGGAGGGAGAGGATGGCGGAATGCAGGCCCTTAGGGTTCCTCATAGGATTGCCTTTCGCTCTTATTGCTCTCGTTTTAGCCGCTGTCGGCGCTGTTATCTGGGTTCTTGGGTATCTGATCTTTCCTCTTGTCTCTCATTCTCTGATTAATCACGTCAGCTTCGTCTTTATTTTTCCTTCCGATCATAATAATCAACGTATTTGATCTATTTATTCATTTTTCAAGAATCAGTCATGTCTTAAACTCGAGCCTAACAGGATCTTAATTACAACTTGTATCCGGCTGTGATTTCTTTGAGCAGCATTTTCTGTTGTCCTTTTCATTTAGTTTCTACGATTCGTTTTGCTGATAATGTTTTTGGCGATGAACGCAGGAGCATATTGAGTTGCATATGTCCGTGTTGCTTCTGTTGCAGTGCATTGGCTAATTTGGCTATGAAACTCATACAGCTTCCAGTTAAAATCATCAGATGGTTCACTGATCAAATTCCTTGCTAGCGACTCACACATAATCTTCTCCTCTCTTTATTCATTTTCATCTTGTTATTCTTACCGTCATCACATTAATACATCTCGATTCTTCAATGGCCCCTTCTCTCTTTTCCCTGGTCTGCTTTTCCTGAACTGCTGTTATCTATTATTTCTGTCTTGCAGCGTTGAAAATTATAAGCTGAAACACGATTAATTCCCCCCCCCCCCCCCGGGGGGCTGCGTTTGAATTGAGAGTACTAATTTTTTATATACCATCAAACAAATGTGCGCTGAACATTCTAATTTGCTGGCAAAAACAAAATCCATACTCATTTCAAGTATATCGCGAATGGCTACAGCGAAGACCACAGAATCGACGCGCATGCATGGAAGAAATCGATCAACTTTAGCCTGAACTTAGCTGCTTCTTCAGCCGAAAGCTTCACAGAGCCATCAATGACCCAAAGCCCATTCAACGAAGCAACCCCATATCGAACTTTCCCCCTTTCGTCCCTGAAACTATCTGTGAAGCTCAGAAGGAAGCACGAAATGCCACAAATGGCCAAGAGGCACGCCGTCATGGTCTGGCTTGTGTGTGTCTTGCACTGGCCTTGGTGTGTCACGACCGGTGACAGAATCTGAAATGACAGGACGCTTCCTGTGGGAAGAAGATTGGAAAGATTTGCTGTGTTCTTGAATGTCTTTCTTATCACCTTCTGAGTAGGCGTTTTGGGTTCTTTTAATATTGGGGCGTTTTCCAGAAGAGGTTGTTGTTGAGATTCTTGAGTGTTTACATTTGCCTCCATTGTCGATGATTAAGAGTAATCTGTTTTTTCTGCAATGAAATCCTGTTGTTCTTCAGATTTTTCTTCTACGTTGTATGGCCACAAGCAAGAAACTGTATATATAAACTATGAAAAGATCAAAATGTGGGGTTTGGTTTGTTTGAGCGAGGATTATCTTTAGTTGGAGGTTGTTATTTGTTAGGACCAAGTTATTTAAAATTGGGCAGCAAATTTGTGAAGTTATGGAACTATAAAAACGTTATGATTTACCTGGTTTATGTTTTGTGGGAATTGAAAGAGGTTAATTCGCTTTAATTAGGGAGGTTTTCACTTTTTGTTTCATTTTATTTTGGTTGTTTGTTGCTTTGGGCCTAAGGGTGGAAATAAGCCAGGCGGCCTGTCAGGGGCCTGCAGCCTAACCTATATTTGATCTAGTTTGGCCTGGCTTGTTTCAAAATAGGAAAAAGCTTAAGCTTTTTTTATGGCCTGTTTAGCCTAAGAGGTTAGGCCTAGGCTTTTTGGAAAGCCTGTTAGGCCTATCCTGACCTGTTTTTATCTTATTTTTAATTTTTAGTTTATACTTATATCTAGTCTTATTTTAATTTTGATATATAATTATAACTTGTTTTTAATAATATTAACTAATTAAGATTTAAAATATTACTTATGACATTAAAATTAAATAAAAGATAATAAAAAAATAATTATTATGTAGCATGTATTTTTATATTTTTCATTAGCTTATGTATTTTTTACTATGCATTTTAAAAATTTTAAAATTACAAGCTTTTTTAACAGGCTCGGGCCAGGCTAGACCTTTATACAGACCAGGCTCAGGCTAAAAAAAAGGCCTGTTACAGGTCACAGGCTAAGCTTAGGCCAGCAAGTTACTAAACAGGCCTGGCCTGTTAAAGACAAAGCTTGGCCTAGCCTGGCTTGTTTTCACCTCTATAATCAACCCTTGGGATTCTTGTTTACATAATCCTCTTATTAGTTTCTCAGCATATACCCTAACACTGTCATTTTTTAATAAAAAAATTACTTCTATTTATTATGTGTTAAAAATTACCCTTTTAATTAAAAATGTCAAGATAATATATTATTAATTATTTCTATAATTTTATCCTTATCTTCAATTACTAAATAAGTTAATGACATAGCAGGCACAATAAAAGGAAGCTTGACATATTAATATTATTTCTTAATTTTTGTACTTAAAGTCTTAAACCTTAAACAAGAAAAATGGGAAGGAGTGTAATAACCAAGATGCGAGGAATCCAAACACTAAACCAAAGTGAACAATGAAAATCGAATGTAGCTCTTTTTTTCTTGCCCCAGACGTGAGGAATCCCAAACAAGGCAAGACTTTACAGCTCTCAAATTATGTTCTCCCCACTTTTTTCGTCTTAATTATTTGAGCAAATTAGTCGATAGTTGATTCAGACTTTAAAACCCTAAAGATTATTAATGGGTTAAGGTGCGCTCACCCCGAACTATTTTTCCAGGTGCATCCAGTGTCCTATGTCCCAAACTAATTAAAACGGTGCATCCATATCCCGGGCTAACAGAAAAGTTAAGTTTGACTGTTAGTTGACCAAAAAATCTGACGTGACAGACACGTAGGCGTCTGATGTGTATTATTTTAACGAGTTAAGGTGCGCCCAACACCCTGAACTATTTTTCCAGGTGCGCCCAGTGTCATAAAGTAATTTTTGATGCATCCAGTGTCCCAAACTAATTAAAACGGTGCGTCCAAATCCCAGGCTAACAGAAAAGTCTCGTTTGACTGTTACCTTGTTGATTTAGCTAAAGGTTAACCAAAAAATCCTACATGACGGACACGCAAGCGTCTAATGTGTATTATTTTGACTAAAAATTCATTTATTTCCTCCTCTTCTAACATTTATCTTCTGCCAGTTTTTAAACTTAAAAAAAGAAAGACCACTGATCCACCCTCTTAAATCCTGGCACATGTACCACCCATTCAATCCCATCCTCGCCTTTAACATTTTATCCCATTTCTTCTATCACTCCGATTTGAAACCACAACCGCTGTCACACATCACACTTCCATCTTCATCTTTGTCGACTCCTCATCCAACTCGCATTTGCTTTCCTCCTCATAGAACACAGTAAACTTCCCATTGATTACTCCATCGACATCGTCGTCGCCCGAGAAAACACCCACCGCCACCAGGCTCGTCTCGGGAGCTTTAGTCAAAATAATACACATCAGATGCTTACGTGTCCGTCATGTAGGATTTTCGGTCTCAGCAAGGTAACAGTCAAACGAGACTTTTCTGTTAGCCTGGGATGTGGACGCACCGTTTTAATTAGTTTGGGACACTGGATGCATCAAAAATTACTTTAGGACACTGGGTGTACCTAAAAAAATAGTTTAGGGTGCTGGGTGCACCTTAACTTGTTAAAATAATACACATCAGATGCCTACGTGTCCGCTACGTCAGATTTTTCAGTCAACTAACGGTCAAACTTAACTTTTTTGTTAGTCCGCGATATGGATGCACCGTTTTAATTAGTTTGGGACACTGGATGCACCGAAAATTATTTTAGGATACTGAGTTCGGGATGTTGGGTGCACCTTAACCCATTATTAATTTATGATTTCGTCAATTTTGTCCTGCGGAGACAAATTCTCGAAATAACTTCTTCCCAGCCGAAGTCAACATAGTTCATTTGTAAAGGCACCATTTTTGGGGAGATAATTGATAGTTATATATACAATAGAATAGAATATATACTATTCCGATCTTAAATACAAAACCTATTTTATAGTATAAATAAGCCTTATATTTACAATCAACAGTGTGTGTATATATATATGCGCGCTCTAAAGTTATAATTATATCCAACACCTGCCTTTCAACTTTAATTTATCAATCTTACAATTCACTTTGTTTCATAGGTTTTTTTTTTTGGGGACCAGACTGTTACAAAGTTTTATCAATCATTATATATGTTTTTAACGTCTTTCAGGAAAAAAATTCCAATGATCAATGACATATTCTCACATCGGAAATTTTAATTGCAATTTAAGCGAAAAAAGGAGAAGAATTTGGACACAATGGAAAAAGGCCAAAAAGAGTATTCGAACTGTCCCATCTTTTTCACTTTTTTCCAGCTGATAATATGATGATGCAAGTCATAGGGGCCTAAGTAGCCTGTCCTTAAATAAGTCAGTGCCTTTACATCATACGGACGTTGTTCGATCTCCATTCCTAGGAAGAACACACAAGATCATAAACTTTGGGGATTAAAGTGGACCACTCTCTCTTCTATGCATGGGTCCCATCTCCAGCCATGATTCATGATCAACGTTCTCCTTATAGCAATATATAATTTTGCCAGCAGCCTATACATTCACTAGTAAGTTTATTTTTTACGTGGAGTGAAACATTATCTATATACTTCTTCTGCGTCGATCATTATATTTATACAGATATATAGAAATTAAAGCACGCTTTGTCTTCGTAATTGCTACTAAAATATTATACATTTTCAACATCTCTTCTCATGTGTCAGTTTAGGTTTGGAAAATACTACTAATGTTGTTCTCATAAAATGATAATGTTCAATAAATTGTTGCATCGCTGTGTAACATATATATATATATATATATATAGGATATTTTCCAGGGAAGATACTTTTTTTCTGAACATGAGAAAAACTCATAAACATTTGATAATGCTGATTTTTATTTCTATGTGCCTGGGCATGAAAAAAATGTATGTCCACCAGCAATAAATTAATCCCAACAATAATGGGCAACCAAAAATAGAAATGTGGGGACAGATTTATTCCGAACTTGGTGAAGCTCATGACATTACGAAATCTTTTTGGTAGATATATACAGATCAAGCATACATGTGGCATGGGGAAGATCGTGTAGAGTTTGGTGATGTTCTGAAGGGAGAAGAAGATTAAAAAAGAAAATATGGGATTCTGGTTCTTAATTAAATGTTGTCTCTTTCCTTCACCTAGTATTGACACATTATTAAGTTTTCCTTTACCATATGGCAACAGATAATATGCGTGGAACCATTGTTGACATCAAGGTCAGGACTGTCGAAATAAACTCGACAAGAGAGAGAAAAAGAGGTTTCTTGCTATGCATGAAAAGTCTACGTGAAGGAATGGAATTTCTGGTTGGCTCAACATATATGGCCTAAATATTTTTTTTCCTTCTCTTCTTCTATATATGTTTTCTCATTATCAGTTATGGTATTTATATCGTTTAGCTTTATCTACACTCCAGGGTGACTTGGGACCTAAATTCTTACTCTGTGACTTGCGTTTTATACATTAGGTTGCCCCAATCCCACTCAACTCTCTTCCACATATCTTATTTGTTTCTTTTCAAGTTAAAATCTGATGCAAGTCTTGTTTTTTCGGAAAATTCATTAAAGCTGCCTTTAGTCAGAGTAACAAAGGACAAAAACCTACATTTATTCTTCTACAAGTTTTCGTACAAATATATATACAAAGCGCACACAACTTAACTTGAGATCAAAGCAAGCTTATATTATTTTCTTTTTCTTTATTCTCTATATCTGCAACTAACCCTGTCGCTCATTTGTTTAATGTTTCATTCTTTGTTTAGTTTTTAGGTCTTTTATCTGTGTCTGTGTCGTCCCTCTTCTTTCTCGTAAGAGCAAAGGAGGTTGGGAAGGTCACTTCGTGATTCATGCAAAGCAATTAAAGCGATTAAAAGTGAGAGAGAATTTAATTCCTTCCCACTCCTAAACATGAAGTAGCATGAGGGGGCCAAACTTTATAAGAGGCAAGTTTCCCCTTTTTGTCCCCTCTACTGTTACTTTTATGTCCTCTTAATCATTCTCTTCTTTTTCTCGCTACCTCTCTCTCTATTTCCATTTTTTATAGCTCCAGATCCAGAGAGTAGTGGAATGTGTGATATTTAGAAGATCACGAGAAAATGACTCAGTGCAATGACTCAGAAAATAGTCACAGCAACATCATCGTGGAGAAACGCGAAGACAGCTTAATTACAACATGCCCTTCCTGTGGACATCATATCAGATGCCACGAACAGGTTCTTCCTCTATTTTAGAAATCCTTTGTTATAAACGCGCGCGCACATATATATCATTCCTATTCTGTGTTTTTTTGTGTAGCGTGAATGTTGAATGATCTCATCAGTTATTAATTTCTCTTTCGATAAATAGCTTTCTTTTTGGATGTAATAAGCTTTATGTATTCAACTTGTTAGGCTGGGATCCATGACTTGCCTGGACTGCCTGCTGGAGTGAAGTTTGATCCAACAGATCAAGAGATTCTTGAACATTTGGAAGCCAAAGTTCGACCTGATATTCATAAGCTTCATCCATTAATTGATGAGTTCATCCCGACTCTTGAAGGCGAGAATGGAATCTGCTATACTCATCCTGAGAAGCTACCAGGTCATTAATCAATTAATTACAAACTAGCCACAATCCATGCTTGTGTGATTCATGCTTATTTCCGCCTTTTACTTTTTCAGTCTTAGAACTACGTATACTCTCATGTTCTTTACAAATATTTTTCATTATTATTAAATGAATTGCTCGTTAGAAGTTGGTTTCTAGACTTGAGAAAATGAAAACAAGAGAAAGAAGCGCTTTCGTTGAATGAACACTAGTTATGGAAGAATGACATCTACTATACTCGTCAAAAGTCACCAGGTCATTGAGTGATCAAATATAATAAACTCCCGAAAACAATCCGTGTTCGGTGTGATTAATTTTTTATCTCTGCTTATACTTTTTCCTTCTGAGGTCTACGCTACTCATATCTGAAGTTGGTGTTCTTATACTTGCGTTAAAATGAAAACGAGAAAGAATCGCTTTCCTTGATAAACACCATGGTGTAGAAGATGTGACCATTTAATCGCCTGTTATTCCCACAACATATGTCTCTCTCTCCATATTGGGATAAAAACCTTGCAACCAACCTTGCTATTACAAGGCACCTAACCTCTGTACTTTTCCACCTTTTTTTCTCAATTATTGTCAAAGAGCCCTTCATGATAATTCATCTAATAGTGACTACCAAACCATATATATATATATATATGTATATTAATATATCACGTGGAATAGATACAAGCTAAAAATGTTGTTCATTAATTAATTTGAATATGCTTTGACTGCAGGAGTAAGCAAAGATGGTCTGGTCCGCCATTTCTTTCACAGGCCATCGAAAGCATACACGACAGGAACAAGGAAAAGGAGGAAGGTACATACTGATGACGTGGACGGCAGCGAGACACGTTGGCACAAGACAGGCAAGACGAGGCCAGTGTATCTGAGCGGGAAGCTAATAGGGTACAAGAAGATTCTGGTGCTTTACACAAACTATGGGAAGCAAAGGAAGCCCGAGAAGACAAACTGGGTGATGCACCAGTACCACCTGGGTTACAACGAAGAGGAGAAAGAAGGAGAGTTAGTGGTGTCCAAGGTTTTCTATCAAACACAACCCAGGCAATGTGGTTCCATGCTCATGAAAGATCAGCCAGTCACTCCTTCAAAACTCAAAGCCCAGGCCATGTACGAGGCTGCCAATAATCATCACAAGGGCAGTAATAATGGGTTTGTTGAGTTCTACGGTTCTTCTTTCTTGTCCTTTGACCAAGGGAACCAACACAGGTCTAGCAATTCTCAAGTGATCTCCCATTTTCCTGTCCAGGATGGTTCTTCTTTCAATATTCCCTGACCTTGAAGTAGTACTGGAAGTCGCAGCTGGGAAATGTGTGAAACATATATAGGGGATCATATTTTCACATATGATACGACAGTATTACAATATTATTATGCATAGAGAGAAGGAGGAAATAAGTTAATAACCAAAAGTCTAGTTAATTAGGAGGGGAAAAGGTGGACAAGAATAAAGAAAGAGATGTTGCTTCATCTGATCAGGAAAAATGAGAAGTCAGCGTGAGGAGGAGGAGGAAGAGGAAGAGAATCCAGATGTTGCCGTGACCTTTTTTGGTTGATGTTAATTTTTTTTCTTTTGAAGATGTCGTCTGCATCATGATTTGTACAGTGTCAGAGAAACATAAAGTGTGGGTAAACTGAAAAGTGAAAACTAACTAGCAAGCTGTACAAACATGACTTTTTACTCTGAGCAGTAATATGCATGTTCCTTTTTAATTGGAAGTTTGAATTGATATATACATGTCATATTTATCAGCTAGAAAATCCAATAATGTATGCTGTACACAAATTATATTATGAAGATTTTGGCTTAAGGCTGCAACTTCAACTAGAAACGACTATGGTGGGAACTGGAAACAGAGTGTTTGAAAGGTCGACGTGTAAGAATATATGGAAGCAGAGAGAAAGCCGATCGATCACCGACTTCACTGAAAACGCAAATCCAGATACCTGCGGTTGTTTTGTTTGTTAGAGAGATGCGCGCCGCGGCCATTCTTATCATTTGTTTTTGGGAACACATTCTTATCATTTTTCTTCACAAAACGCTGAACAGCTTCACAAGTCAGAGTTGTGGCCCAAATGGGGCCCATATGGGCCTGGGACTGGATGGGATAGGCTCCTTTACAATTTTATCCTATAAAATATTTCCTTTATGTTTTAGTCCATCTTTTTATTGTCAACATAAAAATTCATCTATCAAACTCTATAACTTACAAGGTACACACATTATTAGGAAGAAATTAGAAACGGAGAGACTCTCTGTTCGAAAAGGAAGTGCTGCAGCTTTTTTAATTCCTCACTAAGCACATGCATGTATGATCCTATTGAAGATAATTCTGTTCGAAACACTTTCGAGGCAATTGGTTAGATCTAGTATGGATTGTATATAGACAGCAGTTGGAGTCAATGGCTCCCCTGGGACACTAAATGTGTGAACATTTTTCAGCAGAAATTCAAACATCAATTTGCTATATTATGAGAAACTAATCACTCCCTAGATCATACCCCTGTTGCTAGTGTTGTGGCTTTTGATAGCATCATAAAATTGTTAAAGTAGTACTCCTCTGGTTTTATTTATAAGGCAGAGAGAGAAGACATTTTTTTGTCTTATTTATAAGGCACTAAGAGAAATTTTTTGTATAAATATATAATTTTACCCTTTATTTATTATTGTGTTGACTTTATTTATATGAGGTATAATATATATTAAATAGGAATAAAGTTACAAAGTTATTGTATTTTAAATGACAATTAATGAAGTTTAAAGTTTTTCTTAACTTGTATAAAACATGTTAAAAGTGACTTATAAATAAAACAAAATGAGTGTTAATTAATTGTAATAAATTATTGGAATTTAATTAGGGTGGGTGGAGGTTGTACGAGTCAAATTATAACCCACAAGAACCCAAAACGCAAAACGGGAAGAAAGGCTTTTTGGTGTTGATGGACAATCATCGTATGACCTAACCAATAATTTTATTCAGAGCCATTATTCTAGATAAACTCTGAGTATATACCATCCGGTCCTTAATATATAATTTAATTAATTAATTTAAGTAGATTGAAAATATTAGTTAAATTAGTTAATATGATATATTTTTTCTAAAACATCCTAATCATACTCCTTCGGTCTTTAATATAGGATCCAATTATTGAGTTGATTTTTCCTAAATATAAGACCTATTTATCACATTTATCAATTTTTTTAAATTACCCCTATAGATACTCCTTTAACCATAATCAAGTAGAAGAGGAAGAGGAAATATTAAGAAAGATGATTGTGGTGTTTTTAGGAAAAACGTGTCACATTTCTTATAATTAACTAACTTACCTAACTTTCTTAATCTAATCAAATTAGTTAAATAGGTCTTATATTAAGGACCGAAGGAGTATTTCTTAATTTTTTTACTATCTCTTCTACATGATTATTGTTGAGAGAATATCAATAAGACTAATTTAAAAAATTAATAAATACATAAAATAGGTCTTATATATAAGACTAATATCAATTTTCAAATTAATTCGACATGAAAGATAGAATGAGTGCATATATATATATATATATATATATATATATATATATCAGAAAAGGGGTTATAATGGCGAACAGTTTGATAAATCTCATGTCCCACTCACCATGTCATAATGCGTCCTAAAGTGAAAACAAAATCAAAGAGTTAGTACAGCAATAAGGCTGCAGAAATTGCCTCATTATATTCTTTTCCCTTCTTTTCCCCTTTAATTTCATTCTTACATGCATTTTTCTCTTTTTGTACGTTCTGAATCTGATTCATGTAACCCAACTGAGCATGCCAGAATATTAATTATTCTAATTAAGAGAAATTCGAGGATTAAAACGTAAGACCATTCTTTGCATCATAATTGGAGTATCATGAGAATATTTGGTGTACTTGTCTAACGCGAAAATATAAATTCAAAAAAAAAAAAAAAAAGGAAAGGGGTGATAGTTTTAAAGAAAGCTAGCAGCTGACAAATTCTGCTAGAGAGATATTAATATAATCATATATAATTCAAACTTTCTTCCCTTCTTTCTTTTATTTTTCTCATATCGTCTGGATTAAATTTCATCATTCTAGGTTTTTTTATAAATCCTCTTTTTGTATGTTGATTGAACACAAAAATAAGGAATCACTTGACATGGTTACCGCTATATATATAAAATCGAAAATATTTACTAAACTTGCGTGTATATAACCAAAAAAGGAATTTGTGATATTCTATGCAGAAAGAAAAAGTATTAGTAATCACAACGCCTGGATTCTCATTTCTTTTTCTTTTTCTTTTTGTCTTTTTCATCGGTTCTTAATCATTCATACTAATTGAGTTTTATCTCGTTAGGTTTATTTAATTTTAATAACTCAGTAATATTGATTCGTAAGGCTTGTGAAGTTGGGGTACGATAGAATTAGAATTATTTGTATGTATGTGGGTCATTGAAAAATCTGTGGTGAGCCCGGTTACGTTGGAGAGGGCAATAATGGAGTCCAAAAGCTGCCTGTACTGCTCCACAATCGCCACCTTTGTAAAAGGGGCCACCTTTCAGTATTCAAAAGAATATGCATTCTCATGCTTCCACTTTTTTCTTCTTCCTCGTTTATCCATCTCTCTCCTTCCCTCTCTCATCAAACCCTTCATTATTACGTTAACAAAAAACTTAACAATATTACTCTTTCAAGTAATTACATATGGAATATCACATTATCCATCGCTACACATGCATCATATCATATTTAGTGTTTCAATCCAGTTTGGGAATATTCTGGAGTGCCTTCTGATATATGCTTCAAATCCATCCGTTGATTGGAGCGGCATGGCAAATGGATTCTATACCCACACCCAGAAAATCCCTAGTTTGCTCTCCTCCATTATTGTTCTCTTCTTTCTGCTGTATATTCCTGCGTTTTGCTGGGTTCTCTGTCTCGCTTTCCAGGCTAGATACGAGTACTGAACCTGAACCATAGATCCCACAAAATTTGTTCCCTTCCTGTCCGTGACTGTTGCTGCATTTCAACCCTAAGGTTCCCAGGAATGATCTGTCGGTTGAGGTTGCCCCGATTTGAGCAGCTTTCTGCAACAAAGCTGTGGCAGACATGTTTGCCGAGGATGTTTGATGGCATTGCTGATGTTGGGAGCTGTACAAGGAAGGAACACTGATCAGCTGGTCTTGATGATGACGACTACCGTTCTTATTATTACCGCCAAACACCCAATTCAGCTGAGGATTTGAGCACGAAACAAGCGGGTTGTTCCCGTATAGTATTGATCCTGATGTGACTGACCCAAGTTGATGGTGATGAATCTCAAACATGTTACTGTTATTATTGTTCAAAGTATTGGCCATTGTGTCATGAGCTCGAGGACCTTGCGTTTGAGCTGGACCCATCCACAGGATAGTCCCCCAGGTGCTTGATGCTTTGTTTCAACACCAGTGTTTGAAATTGGCTTGAAAATGGAAGGAAAATGTGTGGTCATGCTTATGGCAGGCCCTTGGGAATTTTCCATGATGTTGTAACCCAGAAAGGAGTTATTCACTGTAGATGCTGCATTCACTCTTGCCGTCTCTTCTGCTAAGGCATCGCAGAATGCCCTGTGGGTTATGAAACTGTCTCTCCTGCACAACCAAATTTCATAAATTAACCTTAACTAACACAAACTAGCTAGCCAAATATCCAAAGAGGCGTGCAATTAAAAGATTCCAAATGTGATTTACTTATTGCTAGACCAGGCATAATGACCAGCTTGTAATAATAATATTAGCCTATGGGAGTCACACCTAGGTTAGTCTTAAAAAAAGAAACAAGGGTTAAGTCATTCCAAAATAATTAAGAAATAACTACGATAAGAAACTTTATCAAAAACTTGTCTGTCTTCTATCGAGATTTCCGTCTGCTCTCACAGTCCTTCTCTATTTACTGCTAAAAGCCAAATTGACAGGAACAACCCAGATACGCACAATCCCTCGGGCACCAGGCCCCAGAGAGAGAGAAAGAGAGAGAAGGGGGGGTTAATTAGGGACAACGATATCATCTTGTCTTTGTTTTCATCTAACTTGTTTGCATGAAGGAACTGTGGTGCACTATATTTTCGTCAGGAATAAAGGAGTAAACTTGTATGATTCTAGACAAGCTACCACTTTTTGCACAGAATTGATGTATCACGCTAGAATCAGACTTGATCATGAGCAAGAGGTATAGGGAATTATTACCGTGAAAAGACAGTCCCACAATCACATTTGTATTCTCTGGTGCCACAGGTCTTAGAGTGGGCTTTCCAGTCTGACTGGACAGCGTATCGCTTTGAACACTTCTCGCACTTCCATTTCTTCTCTCCGTGCTTTCTGCAAAAGTGCTTCTTTATCCCTGTTAAGTCTCCCAGAGCCCTTGAAGGGTCGTGGTGGACACAAGTCTTTTCAGGGCACACATACACTCTCTTCTTCGGTTCTTTGCTTGTCCTCTGCTTCAGCTTCCATGGAAGATTGTGTCCTCTTCGATGGAGCTGAAGATTTTGATCCCTTTGGAAACCCTTCCCACATATTTCACACAAGAATCTGTTGGTGGCCATCAGTGTCTTCGGCGACAAGGCTATGACCTCTGCTTCAGGATCTGTGATCACAATATTCTCATGGTAAATCATCATTGTGTTTTATGAAAGAACAATTGACTTTTGAATACACACACACACTCTTCTGATAGAAAGCTAATCAAAGAGAGACAGAGAAAGAGACTAAACTTATTACCTGGATTTCCTGGAAGGTTTCTCTTCCTCTTCAAAACTGGAGGAACAATATTATTACTGGATTCAAGATGATCAGTTGGGTTCTGATGAGAAAAACCACTTGAAATTTCTGCTTCATCCATCTTTTGTTGCAGAAGCATCTCAAGCTATATTTTTTCTGGAGTTTGACTCTGTTTAGAAGGAACCCAGAAACACTTAAAGCTGGGTAAAGTGAGAGAAGGAGTCCTAGTGAGCAACAATGAATTATGAGACGAACCGAGAGGATGGGCAAGCTTCTTATTTATGGTTCGAACCCTAAACAGCACAAACTGAGTTGATATATGCAAGATGGGATCTCTGCGAGAGTTGGAATAAAATAAAACTATAAGATGCTATAGCAGGCAGGGAAAGTTAAATTAAAGTAGAGAGAGAAAGATATAGAAAAGAGAAAGAGATAGTGGGTGTAAAGACTAGGAATTAGAAAAGGGAGGGAAATACGACCCCCCAGAAAAGATAGCAGAGAGGAGAGGAAGAAGATGAAGCAAAGGTGTATCATGACCATATGATGAGGTCGGAAAAATAAAAAGTTCATCTCCATTAGGAATTAATGATTATCCCATAATTGTTCCTTTTTGTTTTGTTATTTTTCTAATCCTTTCTCGTCCAATCACCGTTTTTCTGTTCATTATTTCCTTTCATAGATTTGGTCATTTATAATTACTTATTGGTAAGTAACCCCACTAATGTTTTTTAAATGCAAATTATGCCCAACGACGTATTATATCGCACACACACACCACACTCCACCCTCTGCAAAATCGATTTGTTGCTAGCAACATAATACAAAGTGTATATAGTCAGAAAGAATCACAAACTCCTTCTTCAACGCACATTTTACGCGCAAAAGTGGGGAAATGGGACCTATTTTGAACCTATCTATTAAAAGTGGAAGTGTCCAAAGAAGATTGCTGCTAGTAAGCCAGAAATGTTGTGAAATGCATGCATGCCCTCTATATTGGATTATTCAAGGGGAAGAGGCCTATATGTAATTAAATTACAAATTACTAAGACGAGATGGCTAGCTGTAAATTACTTTGACACTCTTGGAAAACAGCCATGCACGTGTGCCCATGCACTATCCAAACTGTCAATGAAGGTAATTCCACAGGAAACGACGAAACAACACAGAAAAGGGAATAATCGTCCAGATGACAACATGGCATGTCTCATAATATTGGCTGGATCGCTTGCCCCACTTGACTTTTAATTATATGTGCCTATCAAACTATTTGTTTCTTTGTTCTTATTATTGTTTGTCTTATATTACTGTCATCACATCATGTTTACGATGATGTAATTCTGATAAGTCCTGAATTCCTGGATTTATATATAATTAACACCGGTAAAGGCCAATATTGACAGACCTTGATTGATTGGACTATATTTTTGAGCCATATCCGTGTAGAATATGAACTTAAAGTAAGTGCCTTTTATTATCAATTTTTGGTGGGTTGGTAGATATTTCGCTTTGTAGCCGGCCAAAAAAAAATTATTTCACTTTGTAGCTTTTTCTATCACATCTATCTTTCACGTACGTCTATTTACTTTCATGTAACTTTAAAAGATCCCAAGTTCTGTATGGAAATGTTTAGCTTCCATTTACAAATAGTGTATAGTCAGAAAGAATCACAAACTCCTTCTTCAACGCACATTTTACGCGCAAAAGTGGGGAAATGGGACCTATTTTGAACCTATCTATTAAAAGTGGAAGTGTCCAAAGAAGATTGCTGCTAGTAAGCCAGAAATGTTGTGAAATGCATGCATGCCCTCTATATTGGATTATTCAAGGGGAAGAGGCCTATATGTAATTAAATTACAAATTACTAAGACGAGATGGCTAGCTGTAAATTACTTTGACACTCTTGGAAAACAGCCATGCACGTGTGCCCATGCACTATCCAAACTGTCAATGAAGGTAATTCCACAGGAAACGACGAAAAACACAGAAAAGGGAATAATCGTCCAGATGACAACATGGCATGTCTCATATATTGGCTGGATCGCTTGCCCCACTTGACTTTTAATTATATGTGCCTATCAAACTATTTGTTTCTTTGTTCTTATTATTGTTTCTTATATTACTGTCATCACATCATGTCTTACGATGATGTAATTCTGATAAGTCCTGAATTCCTGGATTTATATATAATTAACACCGGTAGAAAGGCCAATATTGACAGACCTTGATTGATTGGACTATGAACTTAAAGTAAGTGCCTTTTTATTATCATTTTTGGTGGGTTTGGTAGATATTTCGCTTTGTAGCCGGCCAAAAAAAAATTATTTCACTTTGTAGCTTTTTCTATCACATCTATCTTTCACGTACGTCTATTTACTTTCATGTAACTTTAAAAAGATCCCAAGGTTCTGTATGGAAATGTTTAGCTTCCATTTACAAATGGATGTATTAAGATATTTGGTAGAGGAAGATCGCATATTCACCACAACTTTGATTGCAAAAAGAAAATGCAAGAGAAGTTTTTGAAATAAAGCCTCACGCATCTTCCTAGCTTCTCATCAATCATCATATGATCCTAATCAAATTATAAGGTATATGGGGGCGTGGGAGTATTTCAGTATTTTAGCAATATTTCAGAGGATATGAAGATCGAGTATCTTGTTTCTAACCACCAGAAGAAGAAAAAGAGGAGGAAAGAAAGTGTGATTGACCTTAAAATGTGATTCTCAAGGCATATGTCCATGCAGGACCAATTTACTTTGAATTCACAGTACCTTGGAAATGGCATAATTGGTATAATGTGAGGGTGAGTTTGAAGAGGAAAAGGTTAAAAGACAGGGAGCTGACAAAGGCAGTGAATATTTGGAAGTGTGGGAGTCGTCACCTTGTGGGCTGACTTTTGCCTGCAACAATGGCAGATCCTTAATCATAATCTAATGATGTTTTTTGATTTGAGGACATTGTTTAAGATAAATCTTTGGAGTTTAGCTGTTGAACTTTGGTGGCCTTAGAATATTCTCTCTAACCCCTCCCTCCCAGCACTCCTCCCAATGGCTTCAACTTTCAAGGCCCCTTCAACTTTCAATTTTTTTTTTTTTTGAACTCCCCACCAACCTCTCTCTCTAGCTTCACGTACGTCCATTGGAAAACAGAATATCAATGAAAGCCAAATAGTATTCTTTCTTCTTCTCTTCAAAAGGCATGTTGTTATTGGTGGTTTCATTTTCTACAGTGCTCCTACAAAGTAAATCACGCCTACATAAAGACTCTCTAATGATAGCTTTTAGTTGACAGACTTATGTGACATGGTTAACATTTTCAAGTGATAAAATACGAGGCTTAAAGTTAAGCATAACTCAGCTATCAAAATTCATTTTTGAGCTTTGAGCTGTATATAGCTTACTGATATTTAGAGAAGGTCCAAATTCAAAGCTGGCCAAAATAAAAGTTGGATTTCTGGCTTGAGCGTTTTTAAATTTCAAAGTTGTTAACTTCTATTTCACTTTCAAAATGAGTTTAGGATCGGATCAAATGTAATGACGAGGTTTTAGGTGCAACATAATGAGTTGTGAAAATGATGTTGGCCTATTATGGATAACCCTGTTAGTGGTAAGATGGTGGCTGACAATTTGCTGTAGTAATTAAAAGGAAAATGATTTCCATTATTTAAATAAAACAACCCCGACAAAAATTAACAAAGCCTATATATGAAATAGATTGTTTATGGGAATGGATATTGATGAAGTGTTAATGAGAAGGGAGTTTGGAGGGTGAAGAGGCAAAGCACTGTGGGGTGGCATGGGAAAAGAATAGATTACCACTATGCCTTACATTAACCGATTATGATATTGCCATCATCTTTCTCATATACATATACATATATTTAACAACACTATGAGGGTTTCTCCTTTTAGCTTTGAAAAGCATGACTCAAAAGCATCCACTTCTCTCTTATTAGCTTCCTTTTGGAGGCAGGCCTTCCCCCTTATTTTATTTTTATTCATACATCTATGCCTTTAAACAGGGAGGGACCATCCATGCAAATTAAAAAAGAAGAGAGAGAGAGAGAGAGATACAAACCAAATAATGCCCAAATCAGAAGCTTAATATATTTGTTTATTTTCAAATGACCAAGATCATGCCCTATGGTAATCAAATTAAAAGATGAGAGTCGCTATCTGTTCTTGCTTTCTGTTGCGAGGAAGGTCATAGTGAGCACTCAAAATGCTCCACTATGGAAATAAAAGAAGAGAAGCCAAAGGTTTGAATTTGATACGATCCGCTGGGGATATGATTGTCAGCTCCTTCTTCTCAATTATTGCCAAATAATTTTGCAGCAATATGACAGATTTTCAAAACCCTAGCTAACTCCTTCCCCATGGGACGGAATTATATTCAAAGACAAAGGAGGCCCAGCTTCCACTTCCACCATTCATATCCTGTGCTTTCGTTAATATCGCACACTTCTTTTCGTACATTATATATTTATATGTATTGTCCCAATCAATGCAATGTCATGGCCGTAAAAAGTGACATTTGTTATCTTCCTTCTTGCTTGCCTAAATCTGTGGTGCCTTTTTCTTGTAAATAAAATCAATTAATTATTTGTTTCTTCTCAACAAAAGTACCCCACATTAACGATGGATGAATACTTGGGTTTGAAAGAGATATATGCATGTATAGACGAAGAATTATATATATACATGCAACTCTAATTAAAGGTGGAAAATAACCAGAGGCCTCATAAACAAATCTAATCATTTTGTTGTTAGAACATTCTAATTAATAATTACACACAAGAAAATAAATAATGTGATTTTTCCTTTGAAAAAAATCTCTCAATTAGAATTTCTCATGAAGAGATCCCAAAAACAGTCATTTGTACTGCGTAAAAGTTCGTTTAGCTAACCCAGACGCCCCATATGTTGTCACTGAGGGACATCTAAAATATAAATAAATCACATTTTATTATTACTACCCATCACGGGTTACTTAGCAATATTTAGCTGACATTTGTATATGATTGCAGGAGATCAATCTTTTTTCCCCCTAAAACATAGGTATCCTTACTGTCAGGCACTAAATGTGAGTACTTATCCCAACAGAAATTTGAACCTTAATTCACTATCTTGTGAAGGACTAGCTTTTTTCGCTAGACCTAACTCCTGTTGATTGGTTGCAAGAGATCAAATTTATTTTTATTTTAGAGTCAACATTTCGGAATTGGACCGACGAAGGCCGTGAATAATTCAAGCGATTGACACCGAGTGTGATGGGACCCATAAATGAATGAAGGAGGATAAAAGTATGGGCCGTTTACTCTTGGGCCAGTTCAATATTCGGCCCAAAATTTCAGGCCCATCGGTTTTGCAGTTTTCCAACGCCATGCGAACATTTCTCATGAAATACTATCATACAGACTTCCTTGCGAGTAACCCCGGGAGGGGGGGGGAAGAAGAAGTCTTTTTAGTTCAATTTTAAAACTTGAATTAAATATTTTTAAAATTTTTTAATAGCATGTTTAAACCGATAAAATCTGGCCTATAAAACGCCGGTTAAAAAAAATTAGCAATAAATTTGAGCATGTTTTAATTAAATGCTGTGAATAGACTAACGGGAAGGAAATTGAAAGGAGGCGAGAATTCTGGGAGTCATCTTATGGAATAAAGCAATAAATAAGGCGCAGAAAACTGAAAAGTAGAGAAGAAGTTTTGAAGGAGTTATATTTTGATAATGTTTTTCTTTCACGTTTTTCTTCCGTTTTCGTAATCAAAAAGTTATAGACAGTCATTTTTCCGTAACAATGCCCACTTATTTTGGTTGGTACGAAAAAATAGAAATAAATATATAAATGAAAAAACAAACAAAGCACGTGAGTTTGATTTAATCATCTGGATTTTGGAATAAACCAAGAGATCACATGGGTCATTTTGAAATTATTAGTTTTTTGCTCATTAATATAGAACCTAATTAATTAATTTGAGTAGATTAAGAATATTAGTTAAATTATTTAACATGACCGTCCTAAATTTCTTTGATTATTATTGAGCGAATACCAATAAAGTTAATTTAAGAAAAATAATACTTCTCTAACTCTAAATATAAGACCGTTATACAATAAACATATGTCGGTTGTACACATAGGACTATGGTCAGTTTTTCAATTAGGTCCTAGGAGTATTTTTTTAACACACACACTATCAAGTAAAGTTATTGAAGCCCGGTTTTTAAGCAAAGTCTTAGAAAAGAACCGTAAAAGGAACTTTTGAGTAAAGAGGTGAATATGATAAGTAAATATCCTTTTTTTAAATAATAATTAAAAAAAAAAAGGTTACGGAGTAGGTGATATATAATTTTGGCAAAATGAAAGGCAGCTCATACCCATCACATATGGTAATGAAGTTGAACTGCCCTTAATTGTCGTTTTGGGGTTACTCCAAAAATTAACCGAATTAATGCAATATATTGCAAAACTCGGGTCGTTTCACTTTGAGGAGCCGAAAACGAAATTAAACCCTAGTAAATGAATGCAAGTAACCTAAACTATAAAAAGAGATTTTTGATTTTGAAAAGCTGTTAATTAAATACTACGAATCAAATTGAAATTAAAATACTTTTTTTTGTTTTTATATAAAAGTGATTAAAATGAATGGAGATTAAAGAAATGAAAATGAGACACACAGATAACACTGATAAAAATCAATCCTCCAATTCAACAACGCAGGCAATCATCACTCTAAAAGATGTGGGAGTTAAAAACAATGAATTAAGAATTATAATTAAGCTTTTGATCCAACAACCGAGCCACCTCGAGTTGTCACAAAATATTTTTCTAAAATTCAAATTACTAACTGCAACCAGAATAGTAAAATGAAATTAAGGATACTAAAAACCAATGCTTAATTAAATTCTTAAATCCACAACAATAGACTTAAAGCTAACAAGAGACAATATGATCCAAGATTCCAAGCCACCTTAGAAAATCACAATATATTAACTCCAAAATCAATACAAATGTCATAACCACAACATCATAATTGAAATCAAAGCTATAAACAGCCCAATGTCAAATGTTAAACAATAATCCAGCCACAATAATTTCCATAGATAATCAGATTTAACAATACAAAATTTTCTAATAATTAGAATAACTATCCTAAGACTTAGGAATTGTTAAACAATTATTAGACAGGAAGTTAAAGTAACTAAACTCCCTTTTGATGATCCAAGCTCCTGCCATTATTGTTGAATTAGAGAATTATGGGACCTTAGCCACGGATTGCCATAAGGAATGCCATATTCAGAATTTTGTTGCGGTTTGCCATGGAAAAATACTGTTCACGCCGTCAGCTCCCTGCTTCGTCGCCGTCGAGCTCGTGTGCGTGTTTTTATTTCAGCGACGCTTGCGTCCTCTGCCTCAGCGTGTTGCGTCTCCTCTGTTCTTTTCCAGGTCCGTCGCTCAGCTCGTGTGTGTATTCTTATTTCCGTTCGGCGTCTTCTGTTTTTCCGCTGGTCAGCTTCGCCGCCTCCAGTTCGCTTGCGTCCCTCCCCGTGATGAAGATTCAATTATTAGATATTAGGTTGGGGGGCAAAACGTTGCGTTTTGCTCCCCCTTTTATTATTATTATTTTTTCTTTCTTTTTTTTTCATTTTTTTTATTTTTATTTTTATTTTTAAATCTTCTAAAAACCTGCCAACAAAATTCAAAAATAAGGTAACATTAATTGTCCTAAAAAAACCAATTACTCACAATTAAATCAAAATATGACAATTTTGCCCCTATAAAATAATAATTCAAAATAAAATAAATTAAATCAATTAAGACAAAAAGGGACTAATTAAGCTGACAAAACTCATATAAAAGATACCAAAAATATATAAAAATAATTGAGTTTGTCAGGCAACTAATTGACGTGTTTTTATGCATCAGAAAAAGTTGAACCTAGTTAATTACTACCTCCGGTCCTATTTATAAGAGCCAGTTGACTAATTTGAGGAGATTAAAGAAGTAAGTTGAATTAGTTATTTGTCCTAAATAGGTATTATCAATATCTTTACTAATCAAATGTATTGACTAGAACTATTATTGTTAGAAGGGTTACTTTGGAATAAAATATATAAATATGAGAGACAAAATGGATTGGGGTCTTATATTTAAGACCAAATTAAAAGTTAAACAGGATCTTATATTAAGGACCGGAGGTAGTACTATCTATCTATTAGTCCACATTAATTAATTTTACCACCTGAATCAAACTTTTATGTAGCCCACTAATCCTTTTTTTCAGTTGCGTATGAATGAAACCGAATTTGGATCTCGCTTGGTGTGTTTTTGATTCGTGTAAAAAGAACACATTGGCTATTAGCACATTTTGCAACATCAAGTGAGTACTGTTTAAAAAGGGGTAAAACATGAGAGAGAGTAATGAAGAATGATATGTTAATTGCGGGCATTACTAAGAGTGACTGGATCCTATTATTTGTTGTTTTGCTACAAAGGTGCATTGGTTAAACAGATTTGAACAATGATTGCGTGCAAATCACTCCGGTACAGAGATGAATCTGCTGTTTTAAGTCTTGCATTTGAGTTTTAATTGGATCAAGTTGGTGTAGAAAAATCAAACAAAATTAAAATCTCAAAATCCGCCAATGAAGCGAGCGAAAGATGAGGAACAGGGCTATGAAGGGTTGCTGGAAGAAGATAAAGGATTAGCACCAAAATCCACTGATGAACAGAGCAACAAAATTCTTTATACTCGTATTAAAATTGTTTTGCTACCACAGCACCAGCCAAGATCTGTCATATTTCTTGATGACCTTTCTTTAGTATAAGAAACCTGAATGGGATCGGCCGATGATTATAATGGATCAACCCTAGTGATTATTTAGTTCCTTGTCGGATTTAATGTATAACAATTCACTCACGTCTCCGTGAAGGCTCGTTTTATTTTCCTCACTTTCGATTCTGATGGATAAAGTATAAACATGGAACCCTGCGAACGCAAAGGAAAAACAGAGAGAGAATCACGGAGTAAAAACATTCCATCTCTTGCCTGTCATATCATAATATTCGGTGCTACTGCCCATTTCTTTAATACAGGAAATTAATCATTTTTCTTTTTTGCTTTTTCTTCCCGTTCTTTACAATTTCCGAAACAGAGAGGGGGCGGGGAGACGAGCGTTAACCTGCTTGACAAATAAAGGTATCAGAGCCACAAGGCGCCAGCTTTTTTCAGAATGGGAATCAAATCACCGGAAATATGGGTGGCCATGAGACGATCCAACCCCCCGAACAATTTTCCCCCTATGAACACCGCCGGAAAATGAAGCACCTTCTCATCTTTATCCCTCCCATGAATCAATGCCTCGAGTTCTGTACGAACACCCACCTCATCCTTCTCCTCCACATCATAAACCGCAGGGTTCACGCCCAGCCCCAGGAGAAGCCGTTTGACGACGTGGCACATGCAGCAGCCACTCCTCCCGACGACAATCACGGCGTTGTCGGCGACCATCTTAGCCACCATTCCGTCGCGCCTGGGGGAAGCAGGGGAGGGACTGTGGGTGATCAGAGAGTGATGGAATGTCGTCCTGTAGGGAATCGCTTCCTGCATCGTGTGTGCGTGAGAGAATATGAGAAAGATCAAATCAATCAATACAATGAGTTGGAAATGGTAGGATGAGAAAGAGAAAGCCAGTGTGTGTATTTATATATGTGTGTGGACCGTGGAGAAAAGGGGAAATTGGGGAGATGTGAGAGAAGAAGAGAAGACGCGGTGTGGGATTTGGTCTTAACAAGAGGGTGTGGCGATTTGGTCGTAACAAGGGGGTGTGGCTGACGTTTGTGGTTGGGTCACTTCCCCTCTGATCTGCTTTTATTGTGAACGTTTTTGTTTGGACGGCGCCCCACTTGACCGCTTTCCATTTCCCTGGCTCGTCTCGTGTTTCCCAATATTAATATTAATATTAATATTAATATTAATATTAGTAATACATAAATAATTATATCACGTTCCCGAGCGCTAAGTAAACGTGACGGTGATGGACGAATGGGCTGGGGGAGAGAAGGGGCCAAATTAATGATCACAAATAGAAATGCCCTAATGAATATAATGGGAAAGAAATTAGCAATGCATGAGATAAAAAAAAATTAAATTTTATTCTGGCAAAAAGAAAATTGAATTTTACAATAGAACGGAATTTACAGTGTCGATCAGAAAAGAATTGAGAGGAAAAGGAGTTACTATACGAGGAAAACGAGGAGGGGGGGAAGGGAGCGTAAGGGGAAGGAGAGGAGGAGCATGTGAGCAACGTTGAACTCACTCATAGTCCGACATCAGAAGGCGTGTGGTGTAACGTCAGAAGAGAGGGCCCGCCACGTGTGACGGATAATGCTGTATTAACTCCTTATAACGTCACCCCTCCGATGCCGCCAACCAACCCCTCCCCTGTCGTCTTCCTCCACGTAATCCCCTCTCCAACCGCATCCATGACGTCATCTCCCGCCTGCCTACGTGTTTCTCTTATCAGTCCCTATCATCCCCTGTTTCGCGCTCCTCTCCCCGCCTGTTGCGCCCATCCAATCATCGCCGCCACGTCTCATTCATCATTCATTCATCCATTCCCCCTCTTCAAAATCAAAGCCTCACTACTTCACAGCTACGGCCCCCCGTTGTGTTGGTTGCGTTGCATAGGGTCTGATGTGTGCCCTGCCGCCCTTGGTGAGTAGTAAATGCTTCCTGCACAATTCTTTTTCTTAAGAATGTTTTTATTTTTTATGAAGTGATGATTCGATTTCAAAGCTAAAACTTGCCAAGTTCAATGAAGCTAAGCCTTAAGAGGCTGCATCGTTTGGATCGAAGAAGACAATAATGCCTCGTTAAAAGTCATAATAATGCTAATAGTAGCCGACAAAAGCCATGTTTATGCATGTTCATTGTCCAAGCACACCATCTCCTCATAAATTCCATTTTATCCTTTAGCACCCGATCAAGGATAGGTCATGGCTTTATCCCATCGCTCACGGAATTCCATCGTTTTATTTTCGGCTCGCCTACAAATATTTAGTACTCCTCCAGTGTTAAGACTTATTTAACTAGATTAAGGAAGTTAGATAAGTTAGTTAATTATAAGAAATATAACATGTTTTTCCTAAAATATTATGATCATCCTCCTTAACATCCTCCTTCTCTTTTTTACTTGATTGTGGTTGAGGGAATATCCACAGAGATAATTTAAGAAAATTGATAAATATGAAAAATAAATTTTATATTTAGAACCAAAATCAACTCAGTAAATTAGATCCAATATTAGGAATGGGAAGAGTATATTAAAATGCGTCAGTCTTCGTTCATGGTACCTAATCTTACTGATTCGTACGTTAACACGTGACGTGCTCCAAGAACCAAACTTCAAAGGAAATTGGCAATGAGCCAATGTTCATGCGACTTGTTTAAATTCCACGATCATGGGTGACGTACTTGCGTGGGTGTGTGAATCACAATCTAGTAAATTATGCATTGAAAGACAACTCTAATGCGGCCTTTTTGGCTTTTTAGATGGGAATCACATTCAGCAAATGAATCTAAGAATATCGGAATTATATATATGACCCACCGCCACAATCATGCGAAGTTAGGAATTTTGTGTCGTTGCCCCGCCAGAACCCGAAACTTTTGACCAAATAAAAACTCATTTTGCATCCAACTGTTCAAGCAACAGCACATAGAAATAGGATGGACGCCATTTTCTTTATTCAAAAGAACGCGGCCGAAGCCTGGGGTCGCCCACAGTCACGCGCTCCTCCATATATTTATAAATAAACGACAATTTGTAACGACCAAGAATGTGCATACACACACATCACTCTGGTTTTAAACGCAACTCACTTGTAAAGCAAAATTTTGATTTTAATTGTAAATTATTTATAATATATTTAATGCTGGTTTTAAAATTTTACTTTTATTTAATTCTCATTTAAAAAAGAAAGAAAGAAAGAATAGAGATGTAAAAATGATTTATGAACATAGAAATGAACAAAACTTCAATAAGGATAAAATTAAAATTTTTTATAAATTTTATATATTTCTTAACATGTGAAAATTTGTTACTAGTGGTGTGTGTATATGCATAGTGTATATATATGGAATCAGGCAGTCGATTTGGAACACGGGGGTTCATTCACTGACATTTTGCGGGGCGGGAACACTTTCAGAATAATTTTCCCAAGTAGTTTCGTTGGTATTTCCATCTGATCAAAAGCGGACAAGAAGAAAGAAGTACTTGCCAAAAAGAGTTGGAAAAATTCAAAATTTTTCTTACCAACGGCGGCATGATTAATGCAGCATGCCCGCCAATTTACTTTAGCATGTCCAACAATGCAGAAGTTTCCATCTTTTATGCATTTTTTGGAAAAAAATAATCTCTGGCTAAACTGATTCCCAGAGCCTCCTTATTGAACTATTGAACCGTCCATTAGATCGACTACATTCCAATTTGCTACGGAGGTGCTCAGTTTTTCTTTGGTTCCAAATTCAACTCTTGAAGATTCAGCAGCAGATCATCGGAATTCAAGTACACCTTGTTTGCTGCATTTGAAATAGTATGTGCGATCTCTCTTGCAGCTTCTATCTTCCTCAGCGTGACAAAAGCCGGATTGTTGGCGATAGCTTGACCGATCAACTGGGCACTTTTTGCCTCACCCTGGTTATTAAAGGCATCTAAGATGAGTAGGCTGAACTAATATAAAAAGAATATAAAAAGTAAGCAAAATTGTGCCATTGTGGAAGGCAGATGGCAGCAACTTAATTCAAAGGGGTGGGTGCATATGATTCAGAGTACTCAAAATTCCTAGTCTCACCTGTGCTCTGATTACAGCGCCTTTCTTGTCCTGTTCAGCTTTTTCCACAATAAATTTTGCCCTCTCAGCTTCTTGTGCAGCAATCTGCTTGGCTTCAATTGCAGCTGTGAACTCCTTGCCAAAGGTCAAAGAGGTAATTGACACATCATCAAGCTCAATATTGAAGTTGGCTGCCCTCCCTTTCAGAACATTCCTGATTTCCCTACTAACAGCCTTCAAAGAACAAACTCACTCAATATACTTCCTTGTTTTCATTGAAGCGGATTTTTGAATTTCACTTTGCAAGCAGCACAGAAAGATTGATAACAAGACAAACCTAAATATAACATTTTCCTTCTTTTCATTGAAGAGAATTTTTTAATTTCGCTTTGCAAGCAGCACAGAAAGATTGATAAGAAGACAAACCTAAAGATAACATTTCTTCAATTTACCAAAGTGCCAAACCAGAAATAATCAATGTCCATATAAAATATAAAACATGTTAGACCAGTAAAATTTAAGCAGAATACTGTCATTGACTAATCACTACGCAGTATGTAGTTAAAATGCTAATTACAGCGAATGACAAAGCGAATAACTAATGGTATTCTGAGACTGCAACAAAGTTGAAAAATCTCGATAACTAGCATGCTTATCAGCCAAATCATAGTTTGCACAGTCATACCTCTCTCTGAGTAATCAGTTGGCTGGCATTGTATCGTGCTACCACGGCTTTCAAAGTTTCATGTATGATAGAAGGTAAAACTCTTTCATTATAATTTTCACCAAGCGTCCGGTAAATTGAAGGTAATTCATTTGGTGTAGGACGGGTAAGGACTCGAAGCCCAATTCTCACCTGTGCGACAAAATGACAATCACACTAACATGGTAAACAAGAATACAAATTTCTCGAAATATGAAATATCAAAATCAATTTTCCAGAAACCAAACAGATTAGCTAGCAAATACTAAGTAATAAAAGTTCTATTTTTCTATCATTCATAGGATCACGTTGAATGGAAACAGAAGTACAGGACGCCTAATTAAAGTAAGTTTAAGGACATCAAGCAGGTGCAAACGGGCTAAACCAAGAGAAAAGCAAGTTACATTAGATATTAAAACAAGACAATAAAAAGGCTAAAAAAACTCAATTTTGTTCATGGTGTGATAATGAAGATTGGAATTCTTTCTAGCGAAAGGGTTCAGAAGTAAGAGTTGTGAACATTTCATTTTTCAAATTTAAATTTCATGACAAGCTTTAGTTAGGAGCAATTACCATCTGGAGATCACGACTCCCAGATGTACTCTCAATGAGATGAGGCCGAGCACGGACATCATAGATGACTGGCCTTTCAAACCACGGAATCATAAAATGAGTCCCTTCAGGATAGACCTACATGACGACAGGGATTTGAACTTCCTTAGGGACAACAGCCAGAAGTTAAAGGACAAAAATAAATTTATTCAGGACCAGAATTAATCGAAATCAAAGGAGAAGATATAATTCTCTTTTGAAGGATGCCAAACAACAGTGATAGTAAGTTAGTAACAAGTATAGACATTCTCATCCAGGTGACAGAATTTAGCAGCATTGTAGGGCTAATATAATGCAGACTATCCTTTACTGAACCACCTTGAGTAGTGGATTTAGCATCTTGAATGGCCGGACGGACACTAGTCATATCCTTTTCAGCGTACTGACAATTTTACCTAATGCAAATGCAATCACACAATGCATTTTCCAGATTAACACACGGTGTAATCTGCAAAAATAATCATATTTCTACGAAAGAAAATAATTAGATACCAAACAATGACCTTCTCTTTGACACCAAGCACCCGGTTGAAGACAATAGCCCGATGCCCTCCTTCAACATTGTAAAGACTGTTGGCGGCTGCATACAGGCCAAGCCCACCAAAAATCCCCAGCTTGAGCAGTGCGGAGGATGCACCACCACCTGGAATGTTTGGAACCTTCAAGTTCCCGAAATTCATTTTCCTAGTTGAAGAGGGCTAAGATTTAGAAGAGTCAGAATGGCATCACTGAAATGTAGACAGAATCAATATATGAAAGATTTCATAAAAGAAGAAAAAAACCACACGATCAGTATTTAACAATGCAATTTCTAAAGAGACAAGCCTCACGGGCAAGATAATTCCTTAATTCCTCCGTATTTTCTCGGCACACAAAAGACATTAAAAGCGAATGATAAGAATTTAATCCAGTCTAAGAGCATCATGCCACCTAGAAATAACATACCAGAAACGAAATGAACAAGGCGATAATGCAATAGACGAGGAGATTACATTTATAGCTGGCGGGCAATCGCAAGTGAGAATGCGTGGAGAAGAGTTCAGGACTTAAGCTTCCCTCTTTTTGTAGGGTTTAACAGTTTAACTTTCCGGACAAGAAATAAGACGGGGAAAAAAAAGGGAAAAGGAAAATATCTTTACGGACAAAAAGACCGGAGCGCCGAATGTCAATTTTTTGGTCAAAGAGGGCGGGGGTTAGGAAATGGGCTTTTATGTGAATGCATGGCCCCCAGCTGTTCGTTGCCCATTATGCCTCTTGGAGGTTAGTCCACATCAGCTCCAATAATCAAATTAAGATTTTAAAAATAATTTTACAGTATATGAAGTAAACATGTGAGAGAAGTTTTATTTCAAAGTGCATGAAACTTTTTTTTTTTTTTGAGGAAACCAGAGACCCCTTAAGTCATGCTAATTTTTCGTCAAAACTTTGGTCACACTCCCCTGTTCATTTTCGCCAATTTGCCCTTGATTCTAGTTATTCAATGAAATCTCTGATTTCCCTGTTGAAGAGTGAAGATTATAATATCTCGTTTGGCAAATGAAATTGAAATCCTTATTGATTTTTCGTTGCAAATTAGATGACATTGTAATTTTTAAAAAAAAAAATTGGACACTTGTTATATATTTTTGGTGCTCATGATTAACAAAATAGAGAACTGTCTGGATATAAAGAGTGGGCCAGTTTACTGACGCCGTACTTTGATGGAGAAGAGAATATTTATATATATATATATTCCACTTAATTAAGGAATTACATCCATCTCTTGAGTTTGTTGTCATCCTAAAAAAAGTTTAAGCTTAAAATATGGGATTAGAATAAACGCATGGGAAAATCTATTCTTTTTACCTTCTTTTCTGCATATTTCTTAACCCGACTGTTGTTAATTTGTTGTGGTTATTTATAGAGATTTGTTTGTTAGTCTGTTTTTTTGCCCCCTCTGTATGTATAATTAATGTATCTGTCTGATTTGTTTGGAAGTGAACCAAAAAAAAAAAAGGAGTTTACGGGTGACCAAGTCATAAAATAGTCACTCTAAGCTGGGAAGGGAGTTAATTACAAGGCAATAACAGACTAGATGTCCTGAAATAGACAAAACGTGTGGGTATATATAGGTATAGACGGCCGTAGAGTGAGATCACAAGCATATTGCAGGAACATAAGAAAGCCGGATTGGCTCTAGAGAGAGAGAGGGATATATATATATAGATATAGATATAACATGGCAATGTCAAAAACAATAAAGGGATTGGTGCTATGTGTGGCGGTGGTACTGTCAATATCAGTGATGAACAGTAAGGTGGTTGCTGGTGAAGAAGAAGAAGAAAAAGGCTTGCATTATTATGAAGAAGCGGCCATCAATGATGCAGCTGGTTTCCAAATCCAAGCTTTACATAGACGACACCTACTAAGGAAGCCTGTTAATCCATACACCAGAGGCTGTAGTCATATCCATCGTTGTCGGGACGGCAGCCACAAGCTTCTCTGATATATCCTCGTCTTATGCTCCCTTATCTTTAACATTTAATGCCTCATCCTCTACATTGCACCATCTTTGTTTGCACATCAAACTCAAAAACAATGTATTCCTTCTCTGTCAACATATTTATACATATATATATATATATATAAAATACCCCTCATTTCATTTATTATCTCTCCCTCCCCCTTAATAATCCTTACATATGTCTTTAATTTGTTGATGTGTGTGTTTTCCTATACACAAACGTGCATGTGAAGTAAGCGACTCTTGTGGCAATGTAAGTGTGCCAGCCACAGGGAGGGATGAGGGAAAGAAAAGGGAAAATTAAAGGGCAAAAAGGTCTTCAGTTCACCATTTTGCCAGTGACCATGATTTAAATAAGAATATCAGTATTTTGTGTGTACAAAATTTATAGAGTATTATGTATGCGTATAAATAAGTTTTGTTTACTAATAAGATTCTTAAGAATAGCTTTTTCTCAATTTTCCTGAAGCAAAACCCAGGTGTATATGACTTGGTTGTCCGGTAAATTAAGAAATGGGGTATTGTCCGATAAATTAAAAGGATATTTGGGTGGAAACAAAACTATAGTTTTAAAAATGCTTTTACTGTATACGAAGTAAATATGTGGAGGAGTTTGTTTCGATTTGCGGCAAAACACTTTTATACTCATCCAAATAATACTAGTGTTGAATTCATGAAATGGGCTATGGGCTGCTCCAATGTTTAAGGCAATTAACCATTGGATTGGGCTTCGGCAATGGACTTCTTACATGCCCAACCTGACCCACCACAACAACGACGGCCTGCTTCCAGTTCCGTCTTGCCGTCGCTCTCCTCCTCCTTCCTTCCTTCCTTCTCAACAAGCAACATCTAGCAGAGTTCTAACCCAAACTCAACTCCTCTTTTCCTTGCTTCTCATCTTCACGTCATTTTAGATCCTTTGGATTTGAGTTCAATATCCAAGTTTAGTCCCTATATTTCTCTTCTTCAGCGCGATTGGGGTGGTGGATGGCAAAAAACAACAAGTACACCTCCATTAACTTCAACCACATCTACGAGAAAAACAGCAGCTCCATTTCTAATACCAACCTCGCCAAGAACCCAGCTCCGTCGCTTTCCCCTTCATATTCTGCTGCTTCTTATTCTGCAATTTCAGCCCCCAACAAAACTCATGGCCGTATGTTGGTTCTGACCCGACCCCCGCCCAAACCCCTTCCATCGCAGCTCCAACATCCACCTCAGCAACAATCCGAGCGGACTCAACAAGTCCCGGATCAACCTCCCTCTAATCCCGGTTCAGACGCCATCTCGCTTCGTCCATTGGGCCGTACGGGAACCGGTTCGTCCCTCTCGCCCCCTGTTTCGAATCACGACAAAGATAAGGAGTTGCCCCCCGCTACGCCGATGATATCTCCAAAATCCGACAAGTTTGTGCCACCGCACCTTCGTCCCGGATTTATTCCCAGGGAGAATAATCCTGGACCGGAATTGAGTCGGCCACAAAGGCAGCAGGGTCATGCCGGATATCCGGGTCGATATGCTGAAAACGGCCGACCCAAGTCGGGTGGGTATGAGAGAATGAGGAGAGGCGGCTTGTCGGATTCGGGGATGATGAATCGTCCGAGATCCAGTGGAAGTCGACCAAGTTCCAGTGGATGGTACGATCGTCTTTTTAATTCAGTTGTGTTGTCGGGTGTAATACAACTGGGCTTTACGTGTTTTGTCATTTATTGAATTTGGGTACAACACGCTGGAGGTAGGCAGCCGCATCAGTGGCAGCATGCGAACCGAAAATATTTTCAGGAAAATAGATAATTTTTTTCTCTCATCCATTGACTTATAATTGGCAAAAAGTCTAAGTTTGAACTAACTTGTTTAGACTAGTGGTAGGGAATAGGGATTGTTGGAGATCGAAATTTCATTAGTAATCAATTTAATCATCATCGAACAATTGTATTGGGCGAAGACGCAGAATCCTCTCATTGTATTGCTTGCTCATAAATGCCGAACCTTTTTACTAGGTTTGATCTGCAAGTCTGCAACATTACGTTTTATAAGAATCATGCTAAATTTAACTGTAAATCTTGGTCCTTGATGGCTATATTATGAATAGCTTCAAATCTACATCTACTTTGTATGCACGTATAAGGTTCAAACCATTACATGACCTTAAACAGAGGACTATTTGACAATGAACTTAGGGAGTCTCTTAATCTAGTTCCATGCAGAAAGATGATAAAATGAATCAATGCTGTATTGGAAGGAGAGCAATGAACTTGTACATAGGGTTAAACTCCTACTACTACAGAGACAGCACATGACATTGATGCCTTGACATGGTGATTGACAAAATCTGAAGCATTTACACGCCATTTACGGTGTTGCATAACGTTGTGTTGTGTCCCATGCAAGTATCTAATATTTTTCAAACATGGATTTGGTCTTCTTTAAAATTTATATGCTTCAGAGGTCTACACTAAATGATCTGGATTGGTTATACGTGCATAGAGATGTTTGTACTAGACAAGTTCAATTCTTGCTTGTTCATGTTTCTTTAATTTGCTGGTTTTTAGAATAGACTAGGTAACCTTTATCCTTCGATTGTGGATTGAGGTTGTTACGTCACTGCATTAACTGTAGATTATTCAAAAGAGAAAAGGTATGTAGTTGAAACTAACCCTGATTATTTATTGGTCAATAAATAGGATGTGTACTTTCTGCCCGAAATCAAGGCGAATGTTAGGGAACTAGGTTTGGAAATAACCTGTAATTTAGCTTTTTATTTGTAGATTATTCTTCGTAAAACATGCCAATCTGACTAGATGGGAAATTGTCATAAACTATTATCTGACTTAAGTACAAAAGGTCAGGCAAAAGGTTGGCCTGTTCAGCATTCCTGGTGCGATGATTGTTATTCTTGATTTTTTGTTTACATTCTCTTCAATCTACTGGCTCTAACCTTGGTGTTTAAGTTCATTTATTGATTTGTATTCTTTAGTGATATTGAAATGTTAATGGATTGAAGTTTTGGCATAATTCATTTTACTTGTTCATTCTGCGATATTTGGAGTCCTATAATCTATGGAAGCAACCGATGGTGTAATCTTATGCTTGTATCAATTCAACATGCTGCTTAATATGCATCACTTTAATGTGTACTAGAGATTGAATGGGGTTTGCTTGACTTTGATATGATGTGTTTGCACAGAATGCACAAGAGATTGAATTCTTTCCCGAGGGCAAGCTGAACTCATTTAGCAGCACAGATGAGTTCTCTTTGGCAATTCAACGCACGCATCCTTTGTCCCTCTGGAATTGATACCAATTTTCACAGAGATGACATTTCGATTCATTGAAGATGGATCGTGGAACCTGATCAAGTGGCAACCTTTCAACCCCTGTTGTTGGAGGGTTCAAGAAGTTCTTTTGTTTGTCGGTGTGTGGCCCTCTCTCATCATGTGCCAATAATCGAGTGTTGAATCAAAATAATATACATACATTCGTAGCTAAACTGGTTTTGACTTGTTTGAGAGGCAGTTATGCATTTTATATGTAGCACTCTGACAGGTAGTATGACAATATTAGATGTATTAACCTTCTTTTGTTTTAATGACTGCTCAGATATTGATTATATTTTTACTGAAAAGTGGGTTACTAAATTACCCAAAGAAACGATGTGGAGTTAATGACTAGGATAAAGTTCGCTATTTTATTTAAGCTTTTACCCCTTGAGTTAATCATTCCTATGTCTTGAGAATGTTTGACCTTCCATCCGCAACTATGATGACGGTGTAAGCATGACTGCTCTCTTGAGGATATTTTCAACAACTGAGGATTGCTCTCTTCTATCAATTCCTTATTTGATAAATTTTAAGAGGAAGGCTTAATTACGGGTGTGGTTTAGTGGGAGAGCTTAGATCCAAGATAGGGTTTATCTTTTTAGTCTTTAAAGCCAGAACCAAAGAATAACTCGGCCCCCTCAGTTCGATCTCTTGCGCTACTCAGCGGTCAGCATCATCAACATATTGAAGCAGGGCCAGGTTCCAAGCGATTTCATCTTCTTAGCCAATACTGTAGAAATAGCCTGGAATTATAAGAGGTAATAGGGTATTAGTGGTTAAACATGTATATATCTAGCTCGAAAATTAATGAATCCAATTATTGGCGAGTTGTATATTATATTATTACTTTATAGTAGTACTACCTCCGGTCTTTAATATAAGATTTTGTTTGATTTTTATTTTAGTACCAAATATAAAACTCTAATTCATTTCGCCTCTTATATTTATTTATTTATTTTTCTAAAACTAAGATAGTTCTTCTAATAATAGTAATTCTAGTCAATAAACTTGATTAATAAAGATATTTTAGAAAAGATAACATTTATTGATTACAAATAACTAACTTACTTATTTTCTTAATTTACTCAAATTAGTTAATTAGCTCTTATATTTAGGATTGGAGGTAGTATATTTTTCTTAGAAACTGTTGAACACTTATTCATATCTTCGAACAAAAAAAAAATACTGATTCATATCATGGATGTATAGTTATTAACTAATACTTCTTCTGTTTTTAATCTAAGACCTAACTAACTGATTGGAGTAGATTAAGAATATTAGTTAAATTAGTTAATATGATACTCCTCCGATCCTTATTATAAGACCCCATTTGACTTTTTATTTGGTTTTAATTATAAGACCCCAATCCATTTTGTCTCTTATATTTATGCATTTTTTTTCCAAGATAATCCTTCTAATAATGATAGTTTTAGCCAATATACTTAATTAGCAAGGATATTTTAGGAATGACAACACTTATTTATTATAAATAACCAACTTAACTTACTTCCTTAATCTCCTCAAATAAGTCAATTGGGTCTTATAATTAGGACTGGAGGAGTATCTTTTTTTCTAAAATACCCTAAACGCATTTCTTAACTTCCTCTCTTCCTCTCCTACTTAATTATTATTAAGGGAATACTAATAGGATTAATTTGAGAAAAAATTGATAAACATGTGAAATATGTCTTATATATAGAACCAATATTAACTCCCTAATTAGCTCTTATATTAGGATGGAATGAGTACCATTTATGTTTGAAACGTTTTCTAAACTGTTCCACACTATAAATTATTTTATCAGTATTTAGAACAGATTCCTTATCAACATACTACCTCATGTCCTAATTATAAAATCTTATTTATAGTTTATAAATGAGGTCTTATAATTAAGAAGGGAGGTAGTATTTTGGAATATATTTTGTATTAGGATATGAATTTATTTGATTAATTTATTTCAACACGTGGATTTTGCAAATCTGTTATCAGCTTAAAGAAGGGCTAATAATTTAGAGTGCTTTCTTTCCGGCGCGCGCGCACACATATATGTATGTATGTGCTTCTCTGGTCCTATTTATAAAGTAGAGAGAGAAGGTTTCTTTTAGTCCTATTTATAAGTCACTTCATCAAATACAAATTTTTATCATGAATATACTATATTGTCTTTTATTTATTATAGTATAAATAGTTTTTTTAAAAGGTGTATATATTAAATAAAAATAAAATTAGAAAGTTGTTATATTTTAATGAAAAGTTAATGTAATTTAAAATTTTCCTAGTCTGTGTGAAACATATTAAAAATGTATTATAAATAGGACAATATGTAGAGTGCTAATAACACCATGGTCTGGCCATGTAGCGAGGAGCTTTCTATAGAATGGTTTTTATATATATATATATATATATATATATATATATATTTGCCATTAAGGTGCGAGCGGGAGGCGACTGTGTGAATAAAATATATTCTTCCAGTTTTTAATATAAGATCCATTTAACTAATTTGATTAGATTAAGGAAGTTAGATAAGTTAGTTAATTATAAGAAATGTGACACGTTTTTTCTAAAATACTATAATCATCTTTCTTGATATCCCCTTTTCCTTTTCTACTTAATTATGATTGAGTGAGTATCCATAGAAGTAATTTAGAAAAAATTGATAAATATGAGAAATGTGTCTTATATTTAAAATCAAAACCAACTTAATAATTAGATTCTATATTAAGAACCGGAGGAGTATTTTATTATGGCTTCCAAACAAGCCGTAACTAACTACTTGACGTGAGAAGGAAGAATCAGGAGAAAAAGGAAGCAGAGAAAAGGGCACAGAAGGAGAGAGGCCCGGAGAGGAAACGATAATTCAACGTATTTTAATATTTAGCCCTCCGTCCAATAGAAATCTTAGAGTTATATATAACTTAAAATAAAATAATAATAAGAATAATCTTAATAATGAAAAGTGATAAGACTGATAATTCCAATTCCAAATAAATTCTAAAATCATCACAAATCGAAATAATTTAAAAATCCCGAAAACATAATTAAATCATAATTATTTTTTATATCCCATCATGTATATTCCACCACTTCTATTCATTGCAACGCTTCTATTACGAAAGATAACAATCCTTCTCTTATCACACCCCTCTAATCATAGCATAACAGCGATTACATTACTTAAGTACGATACTCATATCCTTTAGGAATGATTACTTCTAAGGATAAATTTCAATGATAGACCTTAAACCCAGAACGCGACTTATCTTGAAATCAGTGAAACCAGCGGAGCAAATTAACTTGATCCATTCCTTCTCACTTCTTTCTCTTCCAGTAAAAAGCACCATCATCAGCATATCCAAGAAAAGTTGTGTCTCCACCGATTCATGATCTTTATTCTCCTGATCCACCACCATGTCTATGATGATCACTTTGTTACCCTTCCCATTGCCTGAAATCGCCTCCTTGCACTTCTTAAGTATCCTCACACATTCTTCATCACCCCAATCATGCAGGACCCACTGTTTCACACATTTACCACACAAAACCCTCTTGTAATAAGTCAAAGCCTAAAACAAAATCTAAATGTTCACAAGTCACCAGTGAAGGAATATATATATATATATATATATATATATAAAATGGTTTTATGTTTGCTTACCTTCAGTAGAACTGCATCTGCTTGAGGAATTGCCTCAAACATGTCACCTCCAACGTAGTTCAAGTTGTTGGTGCCTTTCAAGCCAGCGACAACGTGTGGAAGATCGAGCACAGTGCATTTCATGGTTGGGAAGGATTGAGCTATGGCCTTCGCCATAGTTCCTGTGCCTCCTCCAACATCAACCAGCGACTCTAACCCCTCGAACACCCACTTCAGCTTGTGAAGCATGGCACTTGACACCAGGCGAGAATCGCAGCATTGCGTTGTTAAATAAATTATTGAGCTTTGAATTACGGCTTGCATACTCCCAAATGGCCATTCCATGTGCTGTGTGATATGCGGTAGGATCATCATTCTGGAACCAAGCACTCAAATGATGCCAAGGCTCCATCTGAATAGGATCAAGTGACAGAAGCAAAGAAGAGGTCATACTCAAGGGGTTGTCCTTTACAAGAAGCCTACCGGCGTAAGTCATGGCGTAGGATTCTTCTTCTTCTTCTTCTCCATCTTCATTAGGTTTCTTTTTGTGGAAGAAACCTGAATGTGTGAGAATGGACATGAGCTGTCTGATACTGTTTGCTTTTGCAGGATTGATTGGTAGGGAAGCTGTGAGTTGAGAGAGAGCCATGAAGGGTTGGGGATGATTGTGGATGAGATCTGGTATGCCCAGTTGAACTGCACACTTAAGGCACATGGAATTGATGAAGTTGTAGGTTTGGTTCCATACGTGGGCATGGGCTTGGAACAACTCGTTTACCCCAGATCCATTTTGCAAATCCATTATTTCTCAACTTTGTGACGCTTAATGAATCGCTTATGTAGGATCCTGACAGTACCACCACCTATTTATATAGTGCGAAGTTTCTACTTGAGGGGCAAAACGATACTTATCTTCAAATTTAATTATAGTTTGTCATTAATATTTTTAATTGTATGGATTGAACCTTGATTTCAGATTAAGATGGAGATTCACTGATGGATTTGTCCCATTATGTATATAATAATTGTGTGTCATATGAATGAGATTAATTCAACATCAAGAACTGAACCTGAAAAGATTAAATAACGAAAAATTCAGGATATTCAAGAAAACGCAAATGAATTGAATTAGATATTCATTTAAACTTGAACTTGGACGTGCGATATTTTGAAGGGATTCATGAACAAATTTAAGAATGTATCTCTTAAAAATGTGATTCATGCATGCATGAATTGTTTAAGAGATATGACTATTGTAAAGTGGTTATCTTAATTAAGGCAATAATGAACTTTGAAGAGGCATACTCTGAATTCCTTCAAAGGCAGCGCAAAGATAAGAAATTAATGTTTGCAATACCTGTTACAGTAAGATGTCCATTTATGTGTTAAAGATAGCGATTCGTATTTGTGTATTGCTAATTTAAGATCCACGAGGACCCCGTTGGCAACCACAAAATAAAAAACGAGGACCCCGAGTGTCTCTATATACGTATAATATGGAAATTGCGTGACACAGAACTGGCATAGAATAATATATTTTTGTGCACGTTTCCGCAATAAATTCCTTCCGTTTTTTCTGTTGAAGCACATTATAAACTTATAATTCTCCAGGACTCTGAGCTGTTCTTGCTGATCATCAACTGGTTTGGTTAACTTACCGGCTCTCTCCATATATATATATATATATATATAGCCCTCTTTTAACGTTCATTTAATTTAATCACTTTGAAGGCT